AGCCAGACCGGTGCCCGGGGGGGACCAACTTGGTAAGTTGTTGCCTGGGGGCTTGCCTAATTGTCACGAGGTGCCACGTGTCGCAACTTCACTGGAGGGCCAAATCTGCCCTCATCATTAATTGTATGGAAAAAGCAAAGAATATAGAATATTCTAGATTGATGTATAACGTGAAATGGACTTAGAAGGGAAAAAAAAGATTCGAGGGTTTTAATTGCATGGGATCAGAAACAAAACTTTTCATGGAATATAGAATAATTAAATTGTGGTTTGCATGGAATATGCAGGTCAAGGTGCCAACCCTGTATGGAACGAGAAATTCAGTCACTGGGTGCAGTACCCAGAGGAAGATGATCAATACATTCTCACCATTCGAGTCATGGACAAAGACAAATTCTCCCGCGATGACTCTGTTGGACAAACCATGTAAGAATGAAACGATTTCCTTTTAATTAATTACGAATACAAAGTGATTATTATAATTAGCGTTTGGATGAAATGTAGTTTTATATAAAAAAATCAATGTAAATTTTACTTACGGTTGAATTTTACATTGATATAAATGTAATATTGATTAAATCAATATAAATATTTACATCGATAATTATATTTTTGCAAAGTTAAACTGATCGGTGTTGAACTCTATCAATATACTTTTACATCAATAAATATTTATACCGAAAGCAAAAACAACCATAATTATCATTTGGTGAAAAAAAAAAGCTTCTTTTTGGTGCATTTACAACTTCAATTGTTGATGCAGGATTGATGTAAGAGACTTGGTGGCGTTAGGAGTGGAGAAGGGAATGGCCACCGTGGGACCTTGCAGGTACAGTGTCGTTGGAGCCAATGGGACTCGAAGTGGAGAGATCCAAGTGGGGTTTACTTTTAAACCAAAGGTATGAACGCTGAGTCCACAACTGCCACTACGTGTTCCGCAAAATGTTTTGTTTATAAAAACAAAAGCAATTTCCGTGTCAGCAGAAAAAAATATAAAATATATCAATGTATTATACACAAAATGGTTGGTTTTGTTTTTGAAAATAAAAACAATTATTACATAAAAAAATTGTATTATTTTTGCTTTCGAGAACAAAACCAACCATGTGGTAGGTAGTTTTTGTTTACAAAAATAAAACATATCATCGTGTTGTAGAATGCCCTTTAAGGGTTCAAATAAATGCCAAAAATAAGAAAAGAGAAAAAAATAGTTAATAGGTTTCAAATGGATTGAATTGTTTTGGGTATAGGTAAATCCAAATTTGGTTCAATTATATCTGGAATGCAATAATTGAATAACAAAAGTAAAATTGAAATTATCAAAATATTATATACCAATAACACAATGAATTAAAAATGATTTTGATAGTGTATACCATGAACAAACTGAAATAAAAATAACTTGTATGCAACTTTAACCTAAACAGTTTTTTATGAAACTACAATAATCAAACCAGATTTACTAATATAAAACCGATAAGGGTGGGATTCCTATTTCATCCAATTAAAAATGATTTTAATTAATTCAAATTATCCTTAACTGGATGAAATTTGAATTCAGACAATCATAGGTGGTGAAGGGATTTTATTAATTGAAGAACTCCATTTAATTAATTAGTTTGAATCCTCATATATATATAGAAGATGGTAACCACGATAAATGCAATATTGTTAATGACCCCAAAACATGCCAGGTAAGAGGAGTGTTGTAATTGTAATGCATACTATCACTTATGAAGAAATATTGCCAATGAACAGCTATAGTGTCATGTAAGGTTCAAAGTATCGTTATGTATTGGCCCGTACCGTTTCGGAACCCTTTTGATACGTTCTTATAGTGGATGTATCAAAGGTCTGATCGATTCAAGGGATGAAGGAATCCTAGACTGTTCCCTTGAACCAGTTTTTTAAAAAAATAAATAAATATCAAAATGCCCATATGTCATTAACGACATAACGATATTTTAAAGCTTGGTGTCGTGTCGATAGAATTATTGAATTCATGTGAACCCAAAAATTAATGTAAGAAAAATGTATTAAGTGCATTAAAATTACGGTTTGATGATGTAATTGCTGTTGATGGTTGGAAATGACAGATGCTGGAATGTGGACCGGGATCTAGAGCTTGGGGCGCATAACTATAACTATGTATACATATCGACTTATTGCCTTATTAAGCATAGTATATGAAAATATAAGTGAATAATGTTTTTGTCCAATAATAAAAGTGATTGATGTTATATGTCATAACACTTGTACACTTATTAATAAAAATGTGGTGATCTTATAGCCTAATATTCGCTATATGTCATAGCGTGAATACAAATACGCCAAAACTTTAGCTTTTATACCCTATGCTCATTTCCCCCTTTATTATTTTTCTCTTCTTTGAGAAAATGTAGTAGACAATCAATTATTTTATTGCAACTCTCTCAAATTTCTCCCTAAAGATCGACATGGTGGAACCCTTGAAATGACACGATATAGGTAATTAAGATCAATATGACAGTACTGATGACAAGGTGGAACCCATGGTTCATCTTAGTGCAAAGAATTTTACTGCATGATCTCGGTTTTTTTTTTTATTTGTTTGGGTTATCTAAATGATAATATTACTTATAGGTAATTAAGATCAATATGACAGTACTGATGACAAGGTGGAACCCATGGGTCATCTTAGTGCAAAGAATTTTACTGCATGATCTCGGTTTTTTTTTATTTGTTTGGATTATCCAAATGATAATATTACCTATAGGTAATTAAGATCAATAACAGTACTGATGACAAGGTGGAACCCATGGATCATCTTAGTGCAAAGAATTTTACTGCATGATCTCGGTTTTTTGTATTTGTTTGGGTTATCCAAATGATAATATTACTTATGGTCTTCAAGAATATAGAATCCTTAAAAATAAATTGAATCTTATAAATCACAGAGAACCACAATCACCTTTTTGTTTATTGGACTCAATATATTTAGGGGTGTCAATTGGACTGGATTTGATCCAATCCGATTCAGCCTATTGTGAGTTTATTATAAATGGGTCAGGTCCAATCCAAATCAATGAATGTTTTGCATCAATTTGGATCGGTCTAATTCAATGTCTAGACCGTCCACTTTGTTCAAAGTCATTTTGATTTAGATGGATTTTAACCCAAATCCGGTCCATTGACATATATATTCTTATCTTATATCAATGGATCAGATATTGGCTTAATCCAACCCAATCCAATATAATTTTGTTAAGACGGACCAGGTCCAATCCAATTTAATAAATATTTTGGATCAGATTAATCTAATCTAATATATCGTGTTGGTCAGTCCAATCCATCCAAATTGATTTTGAACTGAACATGATTCATTCCAAAACCAGTCCATTAACACCCTTAAATATATTCATATGTAATGTATAGAAGCAATTCATTAATTCTAACCAAGTGAAGGGGTGACCACCTTTATATATATATATACGATTCGCAAAGAGCATATACCATTAATTAAGCACCTTATTATACGAAGTTCAGTAGCAAAAAGACTGTTTTAATTAGTCAGCTTGACGTATTGAGAAAGGCAAGTTGAATCTTAGAAATACTTTTGATTTTTGAACAGTCTTTATGCTACTTGTAATTAACAAAATTTTGAGATAATTGAGTTATTTTTTATCCTTCCTTCCCGAATGAAATGACTTCATTCCAACATTTTACGGTCAAGAGTGAATTATCGGTTATCATTATTCGCTGAGCCATGACAAAATAAGAAAAAGGGTTTGTAGCATATAAGGATAATTATTGGGGTTTAATATCAATAAAAGTAATATATTTCAAAAAAAGGTTAACTTTTTAAAAATAATATCAATAAAGGATAAAAATACTGTTCATCTTCTTCTTCCCATTTGTTCATCAGAGCGACTGTTCGCCCGCCGCCGCTTCTGCCTCCGACAATATTGTCGGAGGTAGCCGGAGGCAGAGGTGGCGGTGGCAGCGCTGGTGGTTTCTTTGTCCAACGCTGCCACCTCCACCCACCTTTATCTCCGCCTTTGGCAACGTTGCTGAAGATGGGTGGAGACCAAGGTGGTGGCAGTGACGGGTAAGAGGAATGACCACTAGTGCCGCCGCCGCCACCTCCGACAATGTTGCCGGAGGCGGAGGTAGAGGTGGGCAAAGGCGGTGGCGAGCGGCAGCTCTGATAAACAAATGGCAAGAAGAAGATAAATAGTGTTTTTGCCTTTTATTGATATTATTTTTAAAAAGTTAACATATTTTTAATTTTTTTAAATATATTACCTTTATTAATATTAAACCCAAAAGTTACTCTTATATGCTATTAACACTAAGAAAAACGCTCATTTATGAAAAAAAAATCAAGAAATTATTGTTCTAATTATTAAAGAAACGCCCATCATAGACAATCTAGGACTTGAACCATTATACGTCGATTGTGTGAACTGTGAAGAAAAAATCTAGCATGAACCTCTACTTTTTTATTTTTTTGCATTTTCTTGCTCTGTTTCTGTTTTTTAAACACTTTTGATTGTTGGTGAGGAGGGTTTCAAGTCAAGCATCTTCCTTTCCACAGTGTGATTCTCGATATGCCAAAATGCAAAATCTGGCCCTTCAAATTGTGTTTCTTGCTTAATTTCAGCCCAACTCCCAAGGTAGACCTAACCTACGAAAGCCTTCAAATTTATTGGACAATCGAAGGAAAAATAATATGCATAGATCGTCAGATGATAATTCAGAGCCTCAATAAAATGCGAATACGCCAATGTTTTCAAGGAAAATAAAAAAGTAAAAATCACATCAACTGCTGTTGGTTTAAAACACCGGCGTCGTGGCGTCTTATCGTTTCGTCGGGGTCGCCTGCGCCCATGGTAAATCTTTTCTGGTTTCTCACCAGCCCATGGGTTTTCTTAATTAGAAAAAGGAAGGCGGTGGGTAAATCTTAACACGTGGCAATTTGATGGCACAAACCGGACATCGCGTGCTATTCACGCCGAACCAAGCATTTTATTCTGAATATTTGAAGTCGAATTTACTTGACATATATGCCCTCGACCAAATAACACAGGCCAGGCGTTTATAGTGTACACTTTGAGGAAGCAGACATACGCTGATAACACACGCAGAGAGAGAGAGATGCCGGCCGGTGGAATATTGGAACTGCTGCTCGTCGATGCAACAAACTTGGGAGATGACAAGGACTTACTGGGTATAATCTATATTTCCTCGCGTCAAGTTACGATCAGTTATTTTTTGATTTTCCTGTATAATAATTTTTTTTCTTAAATTTGTAAAATTAACTATTTGCAGGCGACATGGATCCCTACGTTAATATTCAGTTCAAGAACCAGAAGCTGAAGAGCAGCGTAGGTCGAGGTTAGTGCAAAGTTAAATCCTTGTATGTCGTCATGCTACACGTAACGCCCCCTTTTTTAAAGTTAACACATCGTGGAATTGAACACTGAAAATAAGAAAAAGGAATTTTGCCTGGTTGCTTGACGATTCCTTTTCCGGCGACCGCCTCTACTCCGTGAGGTTCGAGAGAGAGAGAGAGAGAGGAGGGTAGATTGCGTGAATAACTGGGGGAAGAAAAAGATGCTGTGAGAGGAAAACACCAAGAATTGGACAAATTAGAAAAAGACAAGAATAAAGAAGGAACTCTAGTTGTAGGACAAAATGGACAATTATCATGCTGTTGATAATGCCACGTTAACTTTGTTGTCATACCTAGACACGTTGGCAATCAACAAACTGCCATCTGTGTTCATAGTATAGGTGTATCGCAAGAAAATGCGGCATATATGAAATTAATCTCGAGGGTATAATTAAAATTTGGGGAAATTATTTATAGCTCCCATGAGGTTTCGGTTAAACATTAAGATCTCCCCTTGTTTCTCCCTTTCACTATGAAATTAGGAAGGGTTTGTTAATGAAAGTGATTAAACCAATAAAGAGAAGAGATTATTTTACTAAAATGTCACTAATAATAGTATCTCAGTTTTGCCATGTTTATAAATATGGAATACCCTTTTATCAACTAAAAATTTTATTTTTATTTTATTAAACTTGCTTTTTATCTTTTCATTCCCCTCTTTTATTGCGGTAGGAAACATTATTGTTATACCTATACTCGCCCGTGAGAATCATATGTTATGAAAAAACTTCAGCCTCCCATTTCCAATACAAGGGAATTTGTGTGTGTGGTCAACTGAACCGGTTACAGTTTGGTATTGTGGGCGTTTTTCTGAAAAACGGTGTCACGTCGGATTTACATTGGCGATTTCACCTCTCACTGTTTATATGATCGTTTGGCTCAGGCGATTTTTGAAAAAACGGTGAAAAATAGGCATGCATTGTAAATCGCATCTCTCCCGTTGCATGAAACGTCAAAATCGGCGAACTAATGGCTATATGATGTGGCATTTACATGTATTCATTATACGGAGTAATGTGTGCATATACATGAAAAACGGTGATAGAAATCACTACCAAACATATGAAGGTGTTTATTTGTGAAAAACGGGTTTAATAAACGTGAACGTTTTTTTTTTTTTTTTTTTTTTCTGAAAATTGGTCCCAAAACGGGTTCCATGTAAACACTATCTATCTATTGATGGCATTTTATTAGCAGATTTCAGGATTTGCTGATTATCGAGAAAACTTTAGCTGTTTATCTGTTTTAAAGTTTCATGTGCTTGACACGGTATCATGGTTGAGTATAATAGTAATTTGTATTTTACTATTTTACTAGATACCACCACCCATAATGCATCTTTGAGCGTGTAAATCCAAACCATTTGTAATTTGTATTTATATGGCAGTTTTTAGTTACCTTAAAAGTTATATTATTATTGGGGATCCAAGGATTCAGCAATGCTAACTAGATACCACCACTCATAGGGAACCAGCAAGCCCAGAGTGGGTGGAGCTGGGAACTCTTTTTTTTTTTTTGTCTAAAGAAAATGGACGTGTATGGGTTTTGGCTCTGTATTGCCACCAATTCCAGGTATATATGGAGTATCAAGGTCCACTATAGAAGGGAGAAAGGACCACCAAAAACATCTTATTGTTTTGTACTTTTTTGTCACTTTTCCATAGTGGAATTTAATGTTGATCAGTTTATTTGTTTTTGGTATTCTTATCTATTTTTATATTTTTGGTATTTAATTATTCACTTGTTTGACTTAAATGGTTGAGCTAGTCGCTGCCATCTAAAAAATTGGTTTTGTTATTATTCATGTAATTGGTTAGTAGAATTTAATGATGAGAAACAAAATGTCTTAAATATAGGATTCAATGAGATAGAATGGGGTTAATACCTTAAATATGAAACTTAATGATAGGAAATAAAATAAATTGAACATTAGTATTCAAATTACAACTTCTCTCACAATAGAGAGAAACCAAATTTAAAATGAGGGGTACTTTAATAAAAAAATAATAAAATCTAAAAGCTTTGGGGAGTTATTCTCACCCAAATTGTTGAACTATTTATCCACAACCTAAAAAGCTAGTTTCATTTCCAAATTGGTTTTTTAACCTATGTTTTGATTAATGGAATTTAATGTTTAGAAATAAGAATACCTTGATTATAGGATCCAAAAGTTCAATGAGAGAGAATGGGGCTAATACCTTAAATATGGGACTTAAAGGAATGGAATGAACTGACAAGTAGTATAGAATTAGATGTAGATGTAAAATGCCATTGCTTTTTTTCCAATTGTGAAGCTTTTCATCAGGTAGACCTAGGGGTGGATTTGAGCCAAGTCGAGCCGAATAGTATGAGGCTCGAGTTCGATTTTGAGAAAAAATATTTTATAAAAATAAAAAATTATATATAAAAATATTTTTTATTTGATATTTAAAAAATTAAGAATTATAAAATATATATATATATATATATATATTTATATATTGCTGACTTGTGTAGATGTGGCAGTTGTACATATATGTGAGCACTTTAGTGTCAATGTGAATATTGGCTTATTGTACCATAACTGATTTGGTATGCAGGTCAAGGCGCAAATCCTGTATGGAATGAAAAGTTTAGTCTTTGGGTGCAGTATCCAGACATAGATGATGAATACAAGCTCACCCTTAAAATCCTGGACAAAGATAGGTTCTCCCGTGATGATTTTATTGGACAAGCCACGTAAGAAATAAATCCTTTCTTTTTACATTTTTATCTGCAGCAACAGTAAACATAACATTCTATAACATCATGAAATTTGAATTGTTGATTAGCTTGTACAAATATATTAATTGGCAAATGGTGGGGTTGGATTGAGCCTCTGTTACGTTGAATTTTGAATGGGCCCAAACCCTAGCTTGAGCCCAGTACAGTCCAAAAGTTGTTCAATTTGGACAACTCGAGTTGCACGGCTAGGGTGCAGGGATCCTTGTGACAATTTTACTCTCCGTGCAGAATTGATGTGAAAGATGTGGTGGCATTAGGCATGGAAAAGGGAAAGACCTCCATGAAACCTTGCACGTTCAGTGTTGTTGGTGCTGATGGGACACGAAGTGGTGAGATCCAAGTAGGGTTCAATTTCACCCCAAAGGTGAGAGCTCTCAATCATCAATATTGTGCTTGAGGCTCAGTTTGGATGGAGTGCAACTGTATGAATATATACAAAATAATATAAAATACAGGGTTTTGTACTCTATAAATTTGTATTTGTACTTTTTTTCAAAGGCTCAGTTTGAAAGGAGTGCAAATATATATATATATATATATATATAGTACAAATACATACTAAATAATACAAATTAGAAGGTATTGCACTCTACATAATACAAATTCAGTGTTCGGTTTGATAGGAAAAAAAAAGGGAGAAACAAAAAACTAATTAAGAATTTTCCCCCAACTTTTTATTTCTCTTCATAAGATTTTTCCCTCAATTTTTTATTTCTCTATTATTTTTTATCAAATGAAGCATATCCTTATTTAAAAAAAAAAGATAATACAAGAAAGTATTTTTTGTGGCATTTTTAAAAAGAAAAAAATGCCTTGACAATATCTTCCCATACTTGTAAACCTAAAGTGTACGTACAATTTTTAGGCGACAAGCTGAAGAGGGTTTATTTGCGACTAGGAAGTATAATCGTTATCAATTATTATTACAAATTGTGAATTTGTGATTTCTTTAATCGTAACTTCGTAATGGATATGATTGAAAATTTTTACAGTGGAGGTTACATAATAATATCCGTGTTTTTTTTTTATAATTTTTTGAGGAAATTAGCTGATGTAGTGACGTTTCTTACGCTTCACTGGTGAAATTAACAGGTTCTGGAAGGAGATGGACCAGCGATCCAGTGCTAAGGTGGCACTTTTCCTATGGTGGTTTTATTATCCAAATCTGTATGATAATTGATAAATAAATGACTGATATAGTATATAGATGTAATTTTAAAAGAGTTAAAATCTCTAATATATGAATATCTTAAGATATTCAACTCTCTCTCTCACACACACACATCCAATTTGTTGTTTGGGTCCAATTGTGTATTTGAGTTGAACCAACCCGGTAGTGACATATGGCACCATGAGAAACCCAAAAAAATATTTTTCAAATATTTACATTGAATATTTGCTTACATGGCATTTTTTTTTTGTTTTAAAAAATAAAAACATTCACATTGGCTAACAAACGTTGTAATTTGTTAATGACATATACACAACAATATCAAAGGTTTTTTTTTAATTCATTTTATTAATGATATAAATGTTTGCTGAGTTGTGTTTTGTTCATTCCATCTCCATGACCCAACCCGCATTTGTGGAGAAAAATCTGAAAGATAATTTTCATTGAGGCCTATGGTGGATATGGAGGGCTTGGGCCCAAGACCCACTTTCAGCTTATGGTCCTCGAACATATGTTAAATAGTTGAGGTTCTCTTCTATGTATCTTTTGACTTGTGTGTAAAACTAGAACAAGTTTGAGAAATAGAACTTGGGTGTTTTGGGGTCTAGAGTTTTTTTTTCTTTTGGGAGTGCTCAACTTTAAAGATTTTATTGTCGTTTTTATAGTGGATTTCTACTCCTCCATCACCCTTATGTAGCCTGTAGGTTATAAGCTGAAGCACATAAATCTCTATGTGCCTTCTTGGGTTGCTGTTTTATTTTTTTTCCTCAAATTTCTCTCCTTGCCAATCATTTTCAGGTCTTGGGTTGCTATTTTGCAACAATATTCTGAACATTTTTTGTTTAATTTATTCAGTTGTGTTTGATTGTATTGCAATCTTGACCAAGTACATTCAGTTTTGCTTTTGTTTTTTGGTTATTAGGGGTGGTAACGAGACGAGCTTTTTAGAGCTGCTGGAGTTTGGCTTGTAAGGATCGCGAGCCAGCTCGAATATATATATATATATATATATATATAATAAAAATATTATAATTATTAATTATTATAATTCTTAATTTTTTAAATATCAAATAAAAAATATTTTTATATATAATTTTTTATTTTTATAAAACATTTTTCTCAAAATCGAGCTCGAGCTTATGAATTTTTTACTCGAGCTGAGCTCAAGCTCAAGGTTTTGTCTCAAACTAAGCTTGAGCTTGAGCTCGAGCCTTGTAGAACAGTCTTAAACTGAGTCGAATTTAATTTTCACAAACAATAAAGTCAAATTTGAAGCAAAAGTAAACCAGAATTTACACTTAGCCTTTTTGCATAGGGTGTTTGGTTCTTTGGGCATTTATTGAAAAAACACCACCACATCAGTGCCACATAGGTATTGGCATTTATTGCGTATGAAACCGTTGTTTGGTTTCACCATTTATCAAATAAACGCTAAAAGACTGAAGGATTTTGATTTATGTGCATGGACATTTGGGAAAATGTCAAATTCTCGCTTCTCCCAATGTCCCACCATTGCTTATGTGGCACATTTTTATGGGGTGTTAATTTGAGGTAGAAAGTAAAACATGTTTAAAGCAATGCCCAACCAAAGAACAAAGGAAGAAACATTTAAAATAAATTTGTACAAATAAACATGTAAAACAATAAATGGCCCATTTACGAAACCAAACATATATGTACTCTCATAAATGAAATTTACCAAATGCTATGTTAATTGATGTTATTCAATATCAAACTATAACCTGAGTTCAATTCAAACCCAATATAAATCTATCCAATAAGATAAGATTCAAATTCAAATAATATAAATGAATCAAATTTTTATTCAACCCCACCTAGTACTGTTCCTTTGGGAAAGATACTATATTTTTTATTTTTAATATATTTTTATTGGAAATCATTGAGCAGAGATTGGAGGACATCCATAACTTTAGGCCTTGGCAAAACAAAAGGAGAGCAGAGTAGAAGCAATACAAAAGACAAGAAACTCCATGTTTTAATGATTATTACTGAGAAAAATCTCTCTGATAAGATAAGATATATTGGTGGGTGGGTGGGGGGCAATAAAGTGGCTACATATTTGATTTTTCTGGTCATCAAAAACCGATAAGAAAAGGTCAGATTGTGAAGATGGTCAAGTCTGAACAATTTAGACTTTGAATACCTACATATGCAGAGTCAGACAGGCATATAATGAAGTGGTTGGATGGACGTTATTAATATAAGTTGTCTTATTGAATTAATTTTTCTCACTTGGACAGCGCATCCTCCTCGTGTTATTCACAATTTTGACTGGGCAAGATTTCTTACCCATCTTACGTGTCACTTGTCCTTTCTGCCAAACTCTGCACCAATTGCAATCCGAATTCAATACCTGATATTTGCTAGGTCTTTATTATAACGTCACCAAGATGTTCCCGATGTGCGGCTGTAGTGTGCTGTTGCAGATCCTGGTTCCTCTAATCCACCGAGCTTCCAGGTTGGGTCTTCCCTGATAGTTGGTGATTGTGTTGACCGATCCGATCCTCACACGGCCCTTCGTTATTTGACTTGTAATAAAATATACGTGTTTGGACTCTGAAATTTGAATGCATAGATAGAACTCTAGAAGTTAGAACCGGTCCGGTCTTCCAAGTTAATGTAGATGACCATTATTAAATATTAATTAAGAGAGATCCAATCATCCAACTGAGCTGTACAATTCATATTCAGTCCTTTTGTATATATGGACATATGAAGATAATAATTGACGCAGAGAGCTTCGATCGATCCACACAGTAGATATACGAGATATAACGTATTGCTGGAAATCTTCTTAATTTGAACTCCCTGCTCCTCCTCCTCTACTACTTCATCGATCTGGTCATCCTTGTTTGGTCCAAGAAATAGAGATGTCAAGTGGGATACTACAGGTGCTGCTCATCGATGCGGAGTTCATAATAAACAAAGAGCTCCTTGGTATGTAATAAACTGATCGTCTTCTCCTGTTTTCGAGTTCGAATTATTTTATCTTGTCTGTTTCTCTAACACGAGCGCTACGATCTTACAGGTAAGATGGACCCGTATGTTTTGATAAAATTTGGGAACGAAGAGCGTAAGAGCTCCGTTGCTAAGGGTCAGTCAGACTTCACTTGATAATCACTACACTTGTACACACACAGAGCATAAGTACAAACTGATGATTGAGCCAAGGATTGTGAACTGCAGGACAAGGCAAGAAACCAGTATGGAACGAGAAATTTAATTTCAAGGCGGAGTATCCTGGGCAACACAAGGTCATCTTCAGAGTCATGGATAAGGATACCTTCTCCGCCGATGACTTCATCGGTGAATCAACGTGAGTTTAAATCATATCTTGATGATGATCCTAACAGTACTGATTGATAGATCCTGCTCAATTGCTCATCCTGGCCAGTCGAACTGGCTAATTAGTTTGACCAAATCAACCCATTAATACATTATTAATATTAATGCACTCATCATCAGACAGATTGGTTAATTAATGGGCGGGATGGCTTTGCAGGATTTACATAAAGGATTTACTATCACAAGGAGTTGAAGTTGGAAAATCCGAGCTTCCACTCAGTAAGTACAGACTCGTGCTGGACGATTTGAATTACAGTGGAGAGATTCGAATTGGTATCACTTTTACCAGCAAGGTATATATTTATATCTCCGGCAACTTAACTACTACCTTACAAGCTTCTATCGCAAACCAAGGACGCCCATTTCTGCTCCAACTACGTACTTGCGTCCGCGATTAGTTGCTAACTTTTTATCTACTACTTCTCTCTTACAGTCACTAAAATTCTTCCCAACTGACATTTTTTTATTTTGGTTTTTTCTTCAGGCTGAAGAGGAGATGGAAGGGGATATTGGTGGATGGAAACAAAGCTTCTTTTAACTTTTACACCGCGCGAGTCTCTTTGTATTTTTACTTCGTGGGATGGGGTGGGAATGAACATTCATTTTGTAAGGCTTCCGGTGCTCCATGAACAAAAAATGAAAGTTTATTCAACTTCACTGTACCATTTGTTAATAATTTCGTGAGGATGTATTTTACATTTTCTTGCCAGTTAATATAATCTATAATTAATCCAAGAAAGCTTAGATATTGAATATATAAGACCAATAATATGGCCGAGAAAGAGCATAATTGGATTAATCCATACATGTAAAACTGTTGCCCTTGAAGTTGAAGCAAGCCAAAATTTGCAATTGTGAGCATGTAGTTGTTCTTCTGATGTTTTTTTTTTTTTTTCGCATTTCCAGAATTTAGGCTCTGTTTGGTTTGCAGGAAAAAATAGGGAAAGATAAGGAAACCTATACAAGCTCTATAAAGATTTCTCTACCTTTTCCTTCCTTTCCCTACTTTTTCCTTCAAACCAAACGTAAGGAAAAGGATCCAGCCTACCAAACCTCCTCTATCCTTTCTCATTGCTCGTAGTCTAATTCAGGCCCAATTTTATAAAAATTGCTAGCTAGGCTGGTGCTTTGTCCATTAAACCAGCTTAATTACCAGCTCGTTTAAGTTTTCATGTCCTAAAAGGACCAAAAAAAAAGATCAATATGAAGAATGTGGAATAAAAACTGCTAACTCCTGGTCAAAGTTATTACAAATCCCACTCTGTGCTTTAACACTTTTCTTCTTAATCTTGACAAGTGGAATAGAAGAAATATCGGTTTAGGTGATTTTGTTTAGGGGTGGGTAAATTCCAAATCCCTGTAATTTAAGGGTAGTGACAGATAGGTATTCTAAACTTTCAATTGCAATACTTGAATATCATAAACTCTCAAAAATAGACACTTTGGTCCATCTATTTGTATACCGTCAGTTAAACATTACATAATGTCAAAAATACCCTTTTCGTGTATTTTTTAGATCATTCTACAAAGTAAAATCATCATTAAAGAATGTAGTTGTCAAAAAATTTGAATATGTTATTTGCTGTTCATGTGAGAATGCCATCATGGGGAGACATTCAGTTACCTAAGAATTATCTCATAAATATACAAGAAGGGTATTTTTGACATTATGTAATGTTTAACTAATGGATGGACCCAATTGTCTATTTTTAAGGGTTCAGGGTACTCAAGTGTTGCAATTGAAAGTTCAAGTACCTATCTCTTACTACCCCAAAGTACAGGGTACCTATCTATAATTTACACTTTTGTTTAATGTGTATAAATCATAATAAGGAATTTTGGGAAAGTGAAAGAGTAGATTTTTCTCTTAGGCCGCATTTGGAAACAATGCAAATGGAGTGTAAATTTTAGTTCAGGGTAAATTTTTGCACTCTAGTTCACTTTTGCCTGTGTTTGGCAACATTGCATTTTTGCATTGACAAATGATAGACCAATGCATATTTACATTGATAATAAGATGTAAAAGTACAACAATAAAAAAGAAGTAAATTTGCATTCAAGTGGGTTTTTGATAAAAAAAAAGCATATGATTTATTGAAATTTGTGTTTGCATTCATTACAGCTAAAAATCTGTTTGGTAAGAAGGTAAATTTGTCAATGCAAAACTAACATAACTTTACAATTTATATGAACCATTTTACACTCTACATATTTGCATTCACACATATTTGCATCATTTCCAAATGCAGGCTTAGGGCTGTGTTTGATTTGATAGAAAACAAGAACTTTCCCTCAAACTAAGCATAGCTTAAATGCTTCTTTCTTGTCCATACAACCAAAACTTTGTTATGTATAGCAAAAACAAGTTTAGTTACTTTTTTCCAGCTAGTTATCATATTCTTTTCTTCCTTTCAAACAAAATTTTGTTTTTACTATTAAAAAATTTAGAAGGAATGAAAAATAAAGCATTTATTATAGCCTTCTTCTTCTTCAAACCAAACAAGTCTCTATACACATGAACATCTCTTTACCTTCGCTGTCTACTATGATTCTATGAGCCCAAGATTACAATGTCACAGCTAGGTGTGTCAATTGGACTGGATATGGTCCAATCTGGTCCAGTCCAATGTGAGTCCGTTACAAATGGACCTGGTCCAATCCAGTCCAATGAATATTTTGGACCATTTTGGACCGGTCTAGAGACTGTCAAATCTATTCAAATTCCTACTAATTTAGATTGGTTTCAACTCAAACCTGGTCCATTGACACCTATGTTTTTATATTCTATCAACGGATCAGATATTGGCTCAATCTAATATAAATTCATTATGGACAGGCCAGGTCCAATCCAATATGTCATATTGATCCGTCCAGTCCGTCCAAATTCAATATGTTTTGTTGGTTCATCTAATCCGTCCAAATAAATTTTGATTTAAACGGAATCCAACCCAAAACCGGTCCATTGACACCCCTAGTCACAGCTACCAATCGATTAACCTTTGCTTAATTTATCTACCGACTACTGTAACTGCTGCTTGGAAAGTATTTTTATAAACTGTTTAACAATTTTTAAATATAGTAATTTATTGTTAATTTTAAACCAATAAAATAAGACAATTAAGATAGGTCATTAATATATACAATTATACTACTAAAACCTGACAACTACATTATATATTTCAGGATCTAATCCACTCAAAAAGTTCTTAACAGTCAAAACAACCATTCAAAATATCATGCATGAGGATTGATTATATAAATGAATACACTATTGCACATTACTATAACTTATTACCAGTTAAACTCATTTACAGTTGTTATATGAAACATTAGGCTCATCCGTTTGGAAAAAAATGCAAATACAAATACAAACGCATCTATTTAGGAAGAGTAGTGCAAATACAAATATGTACAATGTAAATACTGTGTTAATGCATCTCTTACGTTTGTCTTTCATTCCATTCCTCCACATAGAACGTACTCACATCCTATACACCCGTTGGTCCACCTTTTACATGGACCAATCAATCAAATTTCACCACTTTATCTTTTGTCTTTCAAAATCACTGAGAGTACTGAGATTATTTAACAGCAAGGAGTTACAGCCAAGGCCCAAGGTTCAAAGTATCAATATGTATCGAGAGCATCCTGATATGCCCCTACAGAGGATGTATTGGAGTTCTGACCGATTCAGGGGGGTAAAGGAACTTTAAACCGGCCCTTTTAAACCGATTTAAAAATAAAAAATAAAAAAGTAAAAAAAAAGGTTCGATACTAGTCGATACGCCCCCACTGGCGCATCAGGCATCGATTTTTAGAACCATGATTACAACATTCAAAACACCAAACCAGCGGCAACGAAGATGAGAGGGAGGAGAGAGACTCAGACCTTGACATTGACCTTGTCCAAGGCCTCTAAACTTGTGTAGTTCTATTCCACAAAATCTCAACTTTGGTTAAATAAACAATAATTAATGAAGAAACTTGTGAGAAGCAAATTTCCCTTAACAGAATGGCTACTTCAAATGCCAAGCTTCCTATTCCTGTAAAAAAGTCGATGGCATTATTGTTTACATAGAAACACGTGTAAATTTGTTGAAACAATTTCTCTTAGTCCAGCTGTCCAATTGGACTTACAGCTTGCATTAGTTAAGCCATTTGTCTCAAGTTGGTTAATGTATCTATATATAATTCTGGTTTTTGAAATAAAATAATTCAGTTTCCTCCTGTCTCTCACTTATAAAACGGAGTTGTCGAACGTAACATAGACATAGACATCTTCTTAAGATGGAAAAACTCTATGAGTTGTTGTTTCACAAACCTCCCTCCTACAGTCATTTGAAGGTGTGTGGTTACCTCTCTTATACTAATACCTCCAAGGTGGGCCGAGACAAATTTGTCCCATGTTCTCGTAAATGTGTATTTATTAGGTATCCTCTAAGACAAAAGGGATATTACCTTTAAGATTTATAAACTGGGCAGATATTTGTATCGTGGGTGTCACCTTTTTCGAAGACCAATTTTCATTTGCTAGACGTTCATCTGAAAAATGGTCACTCTTCAGAGATCGTGATCCCATTACCAACAAGTGATGATGCTATCATGAGCTTACAACCAACACATGGTTCAATTATTGAACCCTCAAATATGCCTTCCTACATCAATATTGACCCACCTCGTGAGATTTATTCACATATTAACCTTGTATAACAGTTTCATATTTGTCAACACCTGCCTTAGGCCGACCCACCCGCTCTCGTAGTCCTCCATCTCATATTAATGACTTTGTATGCCTCACATTGTCATCCACCAACACTTGTTACCCCATTTCCAATTACCTCACATCTTCACCCTCAACCTTCCTAATAAACTTCATGCAAACACCCACTGAACCAAAGTCATCAATTCCCTTGTTAGCGCCAAGCAATAGTTGATCAGCTTACCACTTTAGAAAGGACTAATACATGGACCCTCATTGATTTTTCACCCAGAAAGAATCTCATAGGTTGCAAGTGGGTTTACAAAGTCAAGCACAAGGCTGATGGTAGCATTGAGTTGTTCAAAGCACACCTAGAAACTAAAGGTTACACACAAACCGAAGGCATGGATTACACTGATACATATGCTCCCATGGTGAAACTTGTCATTGTCTGTTGTCTATTGTCCCTTGCTACGGCCCGTCAATGGAAACTTCACCAAATGGACATCAACAATGCTTTTCTACATGGCACGTTGCAAGAAGTCTACATGTTGCCACCACCGGGTTTATTTTCCCCAAGAGATGCGTATGTGTGTTATTTCAATAAGTCCATATATGGCCTGAAACAAGCTTCAAGAAATTGGTTTAATACCTTAGCACGAGCATTAAAACAAGTTTCAAGAAATTGGACTTATTTCAATAAGTCCATACATGGTCTTTTGTTGCCTTCACAAAATGACCTTGTTTTATAGGCTTATTGTGATTCCAGCTGGGCTGGTTGCCACTCATCGATCAACCACAGGATATTTTACCCTTGGTTCTTCTCCTCTTTCTTGGAAGACAGAAACAATCTACTATATCTCATTCCTCTGCTAAAGCCAAGTACCGCTCTGTGATTGCAGCCATTAGTGAGTTATTATGGCTGAAATGTCTCTTTCATGATTTGGGCCTCCATCATTCAAAGCCTGTGCAATTCTATTATGACAATAAAACAGCTCTCACCACGAGTCAATCAAGCATGTTGAACTTGATTGTCATTTCATCCACGGTAACATTTAATCCCAAACCATTATTACTGAAAACATCTCCTCGAAATTGCAACCAGCAGCTTTACGAAGGCTTTGGGGAGAGATCAATTTAAAGCTTTAGTTCCTAAATTAGGCATAGGCATCACTCAAGTCCATGTTCCAACTTGAGAGAGAGTATAGCTTAATCCAACTGTCCAACTGGACTTACAGCTTGCATTAATTAGGCCACTTGTCTAAATCGGTTAATGTATCTAAGTCGGTTCTTGAAATGAAGTAATTCAGTTTCCTCTGTCTCTCACTTACACATCGCAAGTTTATATTACTCTTCCCTGGTTTAAGGTTCCAATCTTAACCTAGTTAAATGCCGCCACATAATCAATTCAGCCCAATCAAACAAATGCTTACGCCTTATTGTTCTGGGTCACAACTCAGAAGTACAGTTATACAGATTAATGGACTTTTATTACCGTACGTTAACGTTGTTGCGTGTATCACAAGTACAGTTTGAGGCTTTGATCGAGCCTCCCCTCCCCAACCAATCCATTAATTGAATGGTCTTGGTCAGCTGTTTGTGTTGGAGTTGCTGGAAGCTGGGGAGACCGGATCTGCTCCTCACACAGGGCGTTTCACACCAATTTTACACGCACATCCTACTTATACGTTATTATTCACGGAAGATGTGCTTGTGAGGTCGGAGTGAGGCGCTCTGTGTGATGAGCATATCCCAATCCAAAGCTGGGGTGATGCTGATGCAACTGTGAAACGTACTTATATGAGAATGCGTAGTGCATAAGTAGTGGTCCAGTTTTCAGTTTCTGGTTGAATTGACGTAGCCTATGAGGATGGCATCACCGAGTTTTTTCGCAGAAAACTCTTTTGAAAGACAAAGAATGTAACTCCCGGATATAAATTAAAGACCGTCAACGCATAGAGGTTCGACAAATTAAAGATACATGATACACGTTTTCGGAAATCTTTTCTTTCTTTGAGCTAGCTTCTTTTACATCTTCGTCGTCGTCGTCGTTGCATATTGATATTCTTCGTCGTCCAAGAAATAGAGAAAAGAGAGATGGGGAGTGGGATACTACAGGTGCTACTCCTCGATGCGCATCGCCTAAGAAACACAGAATTGTTTGGTATGTATGTATATGTAATCATTTCTTCTTTTGCATTGATTGCTGCTCTGATTTTTTCTCTCATCATTTCCTTCTCTTCTTGGGTTAATTAGTAGTGATGATTGAGTTCAAATTCCAGATCTTATGTTTTCTATCTTCTAAAGATCAATAACAATTTTGCAGGTAATATGGACCCATATGTTGTGATAAAATATGGAAATGAAGAGCGCAAGAGCTCCGTTGCTCGAGGTAATTAAGTGAGATAAGCATGAGAGAGAGAGAGAGAGTCTATAGATCTAGAGAGAGTATGTAGCAGTCTATATATAAAATCATAAGATGATCATACTCATGGATCAGACAAGCAATTGAAAATGCAGGCCAAGGCAGGAATCCGGTTTGGAACGAGAAATTTACTTTCAAGGCGGAATATCCAGGGAAGATTGTTGGGGCACACAAGCTCAACCTTAAAGTCATGGATAAGGATACCTACACCGCCGATGACTTTGTCGGTGAAACAACGTAAGTCAAATTTTATGTTGATGAACATGATTATTTTAGTGGATGGGTTTCTTCAACTCTAAACAATTGGAAAATGGGATAGCAGATAGCTAGCTAGTAATGACTGGTCGGATCAGATCAAGGCGACATCCTCCTTTTAACTCCTTTGAGAGCAAAATCAAACAGCCTCCGCTGTTCATCTCAGCAGGACGCCACCACCACCACCACCAGTCCATCACGGCCCCAGCAGACTGATAAGTCGATCCCCACCGTGCTTCACCTACCAGTCCATCACTGGCTTCAACTAACCTCATCATGAATCTCTGTCACCACTCAAAATTCTTATTATATAAACCCAACTTGAAGGATTATATTATAATTATTTTTTGCAAAACCGTTGGTACTTTCGTCCAAATCGATCGACAATATCAGAATTGACTGGTCGACACAAACGTGAATCCATGTTCTAAGGAAACAGGATTCGGTCAGAGCAAACGTTAATCCATTCGAACAGCCATCATAGCCTTGCATTGCATAGGGAATATCTCCCCATGAAATAAAACATAAAAGTACCCGATGCAAGGCTATAAAGACTGTTCGAACAGTGTTCCAATGGACATTGCTCTAACTGAAGCCGATCTCTGTTCCAAGTGGGTTGATTATTGTTTTTGGGCTGAGCCTACCATGTCAGTTGGAACGTTTCCTTTCTACACTAGTCGTTAATTATTATTTATCTTTATTCCAATACAGAGAGATAGCCAAATACAATAGAATTAATTGATGTTGATGTTGCATTGTCGTCATAACTTGTTTAGCAAATAATGCACGAGGACAAGTAACATACATCAGAGATTTCCATATTAGCTTATTCCCTTCCATTCATGTTACACCTCGTCTGTGCTTGGTTGCATTGAAATTAAATTATTGAAGGAAAATGAATGAATTATATCTAATCAAACACTGTAAAATATATAACAACTATCAAGAAAATATTTTGTTTTAATTTCCTCTATTATTGTTCACTGTGTCGTAATGTGTATGTGACCTGTTTCATGACCCACTTTGGATCAAGTTAAGAAAAAATCAAAAGGTAAAATTTCATATTTAGTGGTTTGTGCCGGAAACGTAGAGCCTGAACAATATGGATCTGATTTACTTTCAGTTTATGGGTTTGACCCGAAGTGTTATGTTAGGTTGTTTGGGGGATTTCTCCTTTTTATGTATCTTTTGGCTTGCACGAGAAGTCGAGTAAGAGATTGGATTTATTGGGATTTAGGGTTTCTGTGGGAGTGGGTTCTGCATGCCTTTGTAATTTCTATTGCCATTTTCTATAGTGGATTTCATCTCCTCCTTCATAGTATGGATGTAAGCTATAATTAAGTTGAATCAATAAATTTATGTGCATTCTCTTGAGTTCCTCCCTTTTGCATTTTCTTCTATTTTCTCTTTCTTTTGGCAATAGTTTGTGGGTCTTGGATTTGTTTCTACAATAACAATCTGCAACCAACCAAACGGAGATGTTGGCCTTCATTTTTTCATGTACTTCTTGTTGCATACATTAATAATGATCCTGGATCAGTGTACAAGCAGAATCAAATGTTTTTTTTTCAATATAATCTGGTATGTAGGTTCTTTTTGGAGCCTTAGTGCCCTTTCTTCTTTCTTCTTCATGGTTCAAATCATGGTTTTTAAACCGTAGTTGTTCCGAACAGTCAGACCGTTCAACCCAGGAACCGTTTAGGTAACTGGTTCTGTTTTACTCTAAACCTGGTCTCTGACCCAAAACCGTTGAATTAATCAACGACCTATTAACCTAGGCGGTCGAACTATATATCAACCTACCAACCCGTTGATCCATTCAACGGTTTTTGATTATTTTTTATTTTTTTTATTTTTTTTGTCAGAACTGACCATTTATTCAAACTAGACAATGGATCCATCGACCCAGGTTCGATTTCTGGGTCGTTTTTTAAAACCATGGTTCAAATGAATAAAAACACAAACAAATGCTTTCATCCGATCATGCTGATAATTTTGGCCTAAGCAGTTAAGCACTTATGTGGGTGCATGCATGAGACCTGTTTGGCCTACCTGATTGTTGGCTGATAACGCACTATATAGTGAAATTTTATCAACAGTTCAACACATAGTAATGGCTATATTATGTACGTGCAGTATCTACATAAAGGATGTACTATCACTAGGAATCGACGTTGGAAAAGCCGAGCTTCCACCAAGAAAATACAGACTCGAGCTTGCCGATAAGACCTACAAAGGAGAGATTCGGGTTGGCGTCAGCTTCACCATGAAGGTATATATGCATGCATATATATTTATTGCATTAACACAACGAGACACCAGTTTCTACTTCTAGCTGGTTAATTATCTGAAGGGTGAAGCACATATTTATTGAATTTTCAGGTGCCAGAGGACGACGATATCGGTGGATGGAAACAAAGTTGCTTCTAAACAACAGACTCGTCTGTAATTCAAGTTTCTGCAATTTGACATGGACTTTGGTACTTTGCTATAAGTTGTTTTTGTAGAAATTTATTTAATTTTTTTTTCTGTAAATTTTACATGCAGTCCTGTACATTGCTATACATCCAGGGGCGCAATTTCTCATTCTCTTTGTCTATCTTGTGGTGCATTTATATTATTTTTATCAGCTTTTCTTGCCGAGAAATTTAGGTTGGTCCGATACACATAACTGCATAAGTAGAGTAAATGCAGGAAAATATGGGTTCCAGGAATACGAATGATCAGCTAATTAACAATGATACATTCCAATTATGTGTTGATGAGTCCATTAATGCGAATTTGCTGAGATTGATTCGAATATCCGAACTATTTATAAAACCAACTGATCATAGGCTTCAAACATGAATTATTTGTTTATTTTAGGTACAGTAAAGTCTAAGCTGGTGTCTGTTCTTTACCGCAACGTCTTTTGGTTTCATGTCTTACGGGTGATGGATTACCGGTACCAGTACCACAAAAGAAGCAATTGAAAAATAAGATTTACTTTTTTGATACAAGTCTCGTATAAAACAAGGAACTATAGCAGCCAATTGGGATGTTTGTGATCGTTTGGTCTACCGCAATGTCGTGTCTAAAGGGAATTAATTTTTCGTATCAATGATTTATATTATGTAGATTAAAATTCAATATAAGCCGTCTTAGCTCAGCCGGTAGAGCGCGTGGCTTTTAACCACGTGGTCGTGGGTTCGATTCCCACAGACGGCGTTTCGTATTAAAAATAGTATTTTTTATTTGTTTTTCAAAAAAAAACCAATTTTTTTTGTAAAATAACAATACTATCTTTCGTATTTCAGAACGCCGTCTGTGGGAATCGAACCCACGACCACGTGGTTAAAAGCCACGCGCTCTACCGGCTGAGCTAAAACGGCTCCAATGATAATGCTTCGTTTTAATGAGTAAGAATGTATACTATTCGCGCGGACACAGAATAATTTCTTCAAGTTCGACTCATATAGTAATTCGAAATAAAATTTCGTTGGCCGTCTTAGCTCAGCCGGTAGAGCGCGTGGCTTTTAACCACGTGGTCGTGGGTTCGATTCCCACAGACGGCGTTTAGAAAATATGTGAATGGTTTTGAGACTTTCTAGGCTCATTCGTTTTTTTGTGTTTCGCTTCAATTCATCTGATTCAAGGTGGGGCCAATAACAATCAACGAACTTGATTTCGTTGTTTGTCGCATGCGACCCCAATGAAATGTGAACTCCTCGCTGAGCAACGGTTCAGCCTGATCTAAAACTGTTCACACATTTCATGACATCAGCAACTGACAGTAAAATGTAGCGGTGTTCATGTGAAGAGCGTAGTATGACCGACGACGTACAACTTCACAACAGGAAAACCCCTTTACCCGTTCACCGCCAACTCTAATGGCTTCTCCAATTTTTCTTGTGTTTCTTCTTGCTTTCCCCCTCCATCCTATAGCTTACTACCCAGCTTTAATGGCATCGCCGAAACACTTAATGAACTCACTGTTCAGGTTTAATAGTAATAGGAACCTCTGTGTTCCGAAATTCTGTTACCTCTCTCAGATTCTTAAATTCTCAATGCCTGCCAATTCCAGTGCATAATGAAATTTGAGGATTTCTTGATGCAGCGGAGCGAAGACCAACAGAAACGACTCGATCTCGAGGAGGAGGTAACACTTCACTTTGTGGACATTGTATTAATCCATCTGGGTGTTCTGGGTTCTAATTATTTTTTCATGCAGTTGGATCGATCCCAACCCATCGTAACGGTTTACTGTATATAAGGAATTGAAAAAAAAATATATGGAGAAATCTAATTATCTAAAGCTCATTTTATTATCCATAGGTGATCAAACTGCAAGCAGAATTCGAGGATGAACAGAAACTAAACAGAGCCCTCAAGTATGCAGTACATGGACCGGTATCTTCTCACCCATCGTTTTCTTCGATGCTTCCAATTCAGGTACTTACTAACTACTAAATTCTCAGTTCAAACTTTGAGAGAACCCCATTTGACCGATCATCGCTAATCCACATACAGTAAGGACTTAGGGCAGGGGGACATTGTTGGTGTAGGTGCAGGTGCTGCTTGCAGAATTAACAATGTTGGAGGAAGAGATCATTTCTCTGGAGACAAAAATCGAGGAGTTAAAACGGTGCCTGCGCAAGGAAAAGAAACAGAACAGAGAATGTGAACTGCGGCGGGTGCAGCAGCATCGATGGAGACAGCTAAAAGGGAAACATTTGATCTATGGGTTAGAAAGTCTAAAAGGGCTGGCAGACATTGAAATATCACCCATACCTCCACCCTATGATACAGAAGATTACAGAAGCCAACAACTAAAAGTTTCTGTAGCTCCTGCTTCAGAATTCCGGACCATGAACTCCACGAGTTTAAATGGTAAGCTCTTACAATAAGCACCATGAATGGCATTCAGAGCCTTGGGCCCACAGTACCGGTGGAGGTGGAACCCACCAGATATCTTAAACTGAAGCTGAGATCCCACTATATCTTCATATCTCGTTTATGGAAGATTAATTACCATCTGTTATGTTTCAAACTTTCCATTGCTTATATATGTGCAGGAACAGATGAATTTGCTGAAATACTAAGAAGATGCAATGCCAGAAGCCAAAAGCAGAGCCTTCTAGCAGATGAGGAGACCAACACGGAAAAGCCAAATAGTCTCTCAGAAGAACTGATCAGGTGTTTGATAGAAATCTTCCTAAAACTGAATCAAACACCAGCATCTCAGCTCGACTGTGAAAGCTCAACCACCGTTCCTAAGCTCACTCTATCTTGCATCAACTCAAGAGGCTTCAAGCCGAAGACTTCATTCAATTGTAAGGCACCCATGTCTTTCCTGGATGATAATACATCAGTTGTTGATCCCTACGGCATACTATCCGATCATGATGACACCCTTAGAGACGTAGGTCCATACAAGAACTTCATCCAAATCACAAGGAGTTCCTTGGACATGAGCCGTGTTTCAGAATGTCTTCCAGCAATAGGAAAGATGAGGTAGTTGTCCATCTCTCTGAACCTTATCTCTCTACTGGCTACTTTGTTGATTTACAAATATGTAATCGGATATATTATGGTTCGATTCTTGTATGCATTCCTGGAATTAATGCTGAGTATTCAAACATGTCTTGTTTTCAGGATTTTGATCCATAAACTTTGCAGTGTGGACTTGAGTCTGTTGACGTACAAGCAGAAATTGGCATTCTGGATCAACATCTATAATGCCTGCATAATGCATGTAAGACATAATATATATATATAGCAAAATCAAAATACAAACTAACGAAGACATCAAAGTATGTGAACTTATGTGAATTGGGTTTGGATAAAATTTCAGGCATTTCTTCAACATGGGCTGCCTTCCACACCTGATAAATTGCTTTCACTAATGAACAAGGTATGTCTATATCCAATGCGCGGTGAACATATTTAGAGGATAGCTGCAATTTGGGGTAGTAACTACTATGTATAAGAAAAATTAGCTCAACCTTCCATGCAGATTGCAGGTTTTAATCATCATAAAGTGATAAAACCTTCAAAAACAAGTTGTTAGAGTAATAAAACCTATTCAGCCTCACCTACTAGTTGATCAATTCGTCTAGTGTTTGATCGTTGTTACCCATGATAATTAATTAAATTTCGGTAGGCCTGTACTTGTTCCAAGCTTGATCAGTCTCAAAGCTGTCATTGGTATTTGAGACTGATCGGAGTTGCATTATCCAGATATTTCAGCGCCCTCCACTACAATTCCTAAGAAAGAGTTCTGTAATCCGATAGTCATCATCTCTCTCCAAACTCAACTGCTCTTCCATTCTCATCGGCCGTTTAACCCCTGTAGAGATGTGGTTCTGACGAGGTGGTTTTTTATGGGCCAACTTTCTGTTCCAATCACCATTTTGATTCAAGGGTAAAATACAAAAACCTAAGTTTCTGATAATCATAAAAACTTCTATAATTTTATTTTAACAAATACTTCCCCTGATATTTTTCAGAAACTTGACAAAAGCCTCCCTTCCGCCACCATTACATATGGAAAACGTTAGATTGCTGCATCAGTTTTTTTTTCTAAATATTCATTCTGCCCTTTTATAAATTATTTTATAAATAAAATTACTGAACTAATCCCATTTTAACTCAACAATAATTCATATTTCAGTAATTTTGTATGTAAAATTACTGAGAGGATCGTTAAAGGAGGTTTTCGTTGAGTTAAAATGGTGTTATTTCAGTAATTTTGTATATAAAATAATTTATAAAAGGGTAGAATGGATATTTGAAAATAAAAAAAAATAAAAAAAAAAACTGGTGTATCAATCTAACATTTTTCATTTGAGACAATGACAGAAGTGAGATTTTTATTGAATTTCTCAAAAGTTCAGGAGAAATATTTGTTAAAATGAAATTATAGGGGATATTTTATGATTGTCAAAAACTTCAAGGAGGTTTTTGTATTTTACTCTTGATTAAATTTGTAAGGTGGTTTCTGCTACTCCGGTGTCCATCCTCTTGCTAATCGTGGGTTGAGAGAGAGACGTCGTTAGGGAGCCAATCCCATGTGACTTTTGGGCACATTCACGCCCACACACCGACACACGTAGGTAGGATATGGATAAGAAATGAAATGGAAGCAAGAGCAAATTTACTAACTCCATGAGCAAATTTGTAAGTTAGAAACTCTGCCACTAATACCAAATTATAAATAAAAAATGCCACATCCACTTACCGATCACATACGGTCGAGTCCCCTCGTGGCCACTACCACCCCAAATAAATAAGGCCCTGTTTGGTTTACGGGAATAGGGGTCTGAAATCAAAAGCGGAATAGGTTATTCTGATTCCGACTGTTTGATTGAATAGAATTGGAATCACATTCTCATTCCTGCTGGAATGGTATTCTTTCTAATTCCGATTGTTTGGTTGAGTAGAATTGGAATCCCATTCCCATTTCTGTTGGAATGGCATTCTTCCATTTGAGGGAATGGCCATTCCCTGCCCCTCTTTTGAGAATGAAATTTCATTTTTACTGATTCTAATTCTCATTCCTGTTTCTGTCTGAACCAAACAGACTATAGGAATAGACGATTCCAATTCCGATTCCAATTCCGATTCCAAAGGTTTTCAATTCCAATTCCAGATGTAAACTAAACAGACCCTAAGTTATTATATTCATGCATTATTGTATGATGTATGAACTCAAAGTCTCGAATTTATGGTTGTAAACTTAATCATATCAAGCCACATTTCAGTCCTCCCGATTATTAAAAGATCGATAGGATCTGAAATTCTGAAATCCAATCTAATTGGCACTAACCAGCGTGCTTTATATGCAGAAGGCCCGTTAGTGTTCACTGATGTTGCTCTTTTCCTATAAACCCAAATTTGATATTGACCATATATATGAGGGTCTTTGTCTGATTCAGGCTGCACTGAATGTGGGCGGCATAGTATTGAACGTTTTAGCCATTGAGCATTTCATTCTCAGATATCCTCAGGACTCCAAAATTGTGAGTATGGAATAAGAAATTGATTTCTTATATTCAAATATCCTTCTGTTTTCTCTTCTTATCTTCTCGTGTATCATGAAATTTACAGAGCAATGCAGACGAAAAAGAAATGCTGCTTCGGCACGCCTATGGACTTGGCTACCCTGAACCAAATGTCACGTTTGCTCTTTGCCGAGGAAGTTGGTCTTCACCAGCAGTAAGTGAATCACTCCTACTCACATCCAATTCTCTAGAACAGAATCTGTATCAATATTGCTTTAAGAATCCTAAGTGGAATGAATGACCTACAGTTTTCAATAAAAGGAAGATGTGGGTGAATTTGCAGCTAAGGGTTTATACTGCGGAAGATGTAGTTGACGAATTGGGAAGAGCAAAAGTCGAGTATTTAGAAGCCTCGGTGGGAGTTACAAACAAGAAGAAGATTGTGGTGCCCAAACTTCTGCAATGGCACATGAGAGATTTTGCAGATGACATGGAGTCATTGCTAGAATGGATCTATAGCCAACTGCCACGCTCTGGATCACTGAAGCGATCAATAATGGAGTGCCTGAATGGGGAAACAAAAGGTCCTATAGCAAAAATGGTGGAAATTCAGCTTTACGAATCTGAGTTCCGCTACCTGTTACCAATGTAGCTCAAAGATGCCCTGCTACACACTAATGCATTTGCCATTTGGGAACAAATATAAGATACCGGTTTATTTCTGGGATTTAGATTAAATTCAAGACAGTTGCAGATATAAATATAACAAATCCCTGTCTTGATAACCAAACCCAGTATCATATTACCAAAAAAAAGAGAATAAAACAGTACAATATTCTTGCAGTAAATGATTTCAATATCACAGATATCTATGCAGCATAAAATAGCAACACAAACGAGGGCAAAAGTGACTGCAGGAAAATGTTTGGGAAATAATTGCAAGTTCGTATCTTCTGTTACTTCCATCAAGTTTCCCATTGGCATTGGCCACCCTAATCACCGACCCATTATGGTTTGAAATAATACAAATAAGCGATAACACACCATGCACGGCTTTATCTCTGCCAACCATCAGCAAACAAAGCCATTGTTTAGGCCTTGATGGTTTGCAAATCACAGTATCTCTTTGAAGGTCCATCCATAGAAGAATGTAGAAAGGTCAATTAGAGAGTTTAAAATTATATAAAGAATAATCCAGTTGATGCAATTCTGACGAAGGACAATGCCAATTCGCCATCCAGAAGTGCATAATTGCGGAAGCAATGTCACCATAAGTGTTCCTCGAGTACCATTAGAAAGTATCGAAGCTGTATAGCACGGTTGAGGGTCACCGCAATTAAATTAATAATGGAATAGCATTCTTCCAAAACCCTGTAGTACAGACACTGCCAGCACATAACATCTAAAACAATGGAATTTTCAATACCTATCAATCCAGCCAAACCTGAATATTCCAGTAAGATGAACAGATTGGATTTGCACGATACGATTAGTAAGGTGGCATTGGAAGATAAAATAACCTCAAAAATATAATTGTTGAGAGCTATATTGTATTTGGGTATATTTATAATATTTGTAATATTGTGGGAACCTATATGTATTTGTGAGAGAAAAAGGGGCTTCTGTGTAATTTTGATGTATTTTAATCTTGTGTTTATTCAAGCAAGTGGTTGTGTGAGATTATAATTTGAGGAAAAGTGAGTGAGTGAGTGAGAGAGTTGTATTTCTTGTTCTCATAGTGGATATTTTTCCTCTCCTCCCATAGATGTAGGCTACCAAGTCGAATCACATTAAATCTTGGTGTTTCTCTCTATTTCTTCTTATTTTCTCCTTGATTTGCTATTCTATTTTATATTAATTAACATGGTATCAGAGCTATTTTATGTTGTTTAACATAGTATTAGAGCCAGGTTGTTCCGATTGTTATGAAGGTATTCCGTTTGTTGTGATGGTGTTCGAGTTGTTGTGAAAGTATTCCAGTTGCTGTGAAGGTGTTTCATTGCTGCTATTTCATGTTCAGTTGAGGTAGTAGTTGACTACTACAAAATCTCTTCGTATAGTAGTTGACTACTAAGAACAAGATACTAATAGTAGTCGATTACTACAAAATTTCTTTGTATAGTAGTCAACTACTAGCCTCAAGATGCAATTGTTTGTGAGTTGGTGGTGGTTTCTTGAGTTGAAAAATGGGCAAGTTGTGGTTGTTTGTGGTTTTGGGAGTTGAAAAAGGGGTTTAGATTCCTCAAGTTGTGATTGTTTGTGAGTTGGTTGAAAAAAAGGGTTTTGATGCCTCAAGTTGTGGTTTTTATGAGTTGAAAAAAAGGGTTTTGATGCATCAAGTTGTGGTTGTTTGATGGTTGGTTGGAAAAGAGGTTGTGATGCCTCAAGTTGTAGTTGTTTGGAAATGAGGCTATGATGCCTCAAGTTGTGTTTTCTTGTGAGTTGAAAAAGGGGCTTTGATGCCTCAAGTTGTGGTTGTTTATGAGTTGGTTGGAAAAAGGAGTTCCGATGCCTCAAGTTGTGGTTGTTTGGTGGTTGGTTGGAAAAGAGAATGTGATGCTATATTTGGAAGAATTGATCTTTAGTGGCTTCTAGCTCAATGCAGAAGGTTATGGCAAGGTTGGCTTGGGCTCCTCCCATTGAAGGATTTCTAAAATTAAACTTCGATGGGAGTAGTCAAGGCAACCCAGGCCCAGCTGGAATAGGAGGGGTTATCAGAGACAAGGAAGGAAACTTAAGAGCACTCTTCTCAAGATCAATAGGGAATGGAGACTCCTTAAAGGCAAAATTGTACGCAGCCCTACAAGGTGTACAGATTGCAAGAGAATTTGGATTGGAAAATTTGGTGATAGAAGGGAACTCCAAGGTGGTGGTGGGTTGGCTAAAAAACCCAGATTCAGTGATCTGGGTTTACATAAATGAATTGAAGAAATTCAAATGGTTAACTCAGCAGATGGAGGTAACTATACAGTGGGTGGGGAGGGAGGCAAATGCTTTTGCTAATTCTCTAACTAAACAAGGGGTAACTAGGGAACAGTTGTACTGGGCCCAATTGTAACTTTATGATGTTTCTGTATCAATGAGTGAGGCTGCACCTCGCGCCTCATATTGGGATGCTTGTAACGAACTACTTATTATTTGCTTCTAATGAAATCAATTGAATTTTATCTATCAAAAAAAAGAGATTGTGATGCTTCAAGTTGTGATTATTTGGTGGTTGATTGGAAAAGAGGCTATGATGCCTCAAGTTGTGGTTGTTTATGAGTTGATAATGGTTTTGTGAGTTGAAAAAGGGGTTTTGATGCCTCAAGTTGTGGTTGTTTGTTGGTGGTGATTTTGTAAGTTGAAAAAGAGACTGTGATGTTTCAAGTTGTGGTTGTTTGGAAAAGAGGTTATGATGCCTAATGGTTTTGTGAGTTGAAAAAGGGGTTTTGATGCCTCAAGTTGTGGTTGTTTGTTGGTGGTGGTTTTGTGAGTTAGAAAAGTGGTTGTGATGCCTCAAGTTGTAGATGTTTGTGAGTTGGTAATAGTTTGTAGTGTGGTGATATCTCTGTTGGTGAATGTGTGATACTCCCTTGGTGTATCGATGAACTGTTGTTTTAGAGGTCCCTTCAACATCTCAAGGTTCATTATTGCTATTGCTTCAATAATAAACCTATTTCCATGAAGGTTGCTTCAACATCTTTACTTGCAAACTCAAGTTGATTTTCCCACCTTGAGTTTGAGGGGGCGTGTTGAAAGTTATATTGTATTTGGGTATATTTGTAATATTTGTAATATTGTGGGGACATATATGTATTTTTGGGAGAAAAAGAGGCTTCTGTGTAATTCTGATGTATTTAAGTCTTGTGCTTATTTTAACAAGTAGTTTTGTAAGATTAGGGTTTGAAGAAGAGTGAGTGAGGAAGAGAGTGTGAGTGAGAGAGAGAGTTGCATCTCTTATTCTTATAGTGGATATTTTTTCTCTCTTCCCGTGGATGTAGGCTACCAAGCCGAACCACGTTAAATCTTGGTGTTTCTCTCTATTCCTTATTTTCTCCTTGATTTTCTATTCTATTTTGCATTACTTAACATAGTATCAGAGCTATTTTATGTTGTTTAACAATAATAAATGGGGAAATTAAAATTTTGAGTAGTGACACATTAAAGGAGAAAAGATAGACATAGATGATGTCAAACAATTGCATAAGAATACTAAGACTAAGAGGAAGATGTCAAACAATTGATTATGAAAAGAAATGAAAAAGGAATAAGGACAAGGGCAATTTTGAAATACATGTTTTGTCCCATAATGAAGCTTCTTGGAAATCCAAATATAAGCATTATATAGAACAGATAGTCTAATGAATGTATTCAAGGGCTAACTTTGGATAACGACTGACAACTTTATCTTTAAATTGGCAGCAAGATCTTTGCCATTATAATAGTACATATGCTCAATAAACATTTTGCTAATCATAATACTGGAATGTAAAAGCTAATTCGCACTTTCATGATGAACAGGAAAGGAAAAAAAAGGATGGAATATTGGGTACAAATCTGAAATCCCAAAAAAAAAGAAGAAAAGGAAAAAGAAACAAAACATGCATGCAGTAAAATATAGCCACCACCAATCATGTTCATCCATTTTCCATATGCTTTACTATCCAGAACAATCATTAAAACAAACATGAACAAAATTTGTAGTCCTCGTTGCTTTTCCCAAGACTTGTGCAAACCAAGTAGGTAAATGAAGTTCAACTCAGAAATGCTATCACCCTGTTCAACATGTTTAAGCCAAACATGGTTTCTTCACAGTTCATCTTGGCAAATATCTTCAATGGTTCAGAACATCTACCTTCAACAGTGATAGTTATTAAGCAGGGAATTGAATTGCTCAATATCTCACCACTGAATCGCAAACACAAACCCGATACATCATCATGGTTGACAGCAACTGGCATATCCACAGATACAAGGAAAAGGTTCGCATGACTGAGCATCCTTGATGCAAGGCTCTGGCAAACTACAAGAAACTTGTCTTTCATTAATGAACTTGGATCCTTCTCACAGTTTAGCTCCTCAATATGGTCAGTAAAGGTGCAACTGTTGCAAAATAATCAAATTAACAATTAGCAATTTTGTATTCCCCAAACAAAGAGAAAAGACAACTAAAATCACAAAATTCGGCTTGCAACTTCTCAAGATGGAAAGTAACCAGTTCTATCCATTTGACTAGATGTCTACATTATGGTAAAGATACTTCTAAACAGGCAAGTTATCCATGTTGATGAATGTAAGTTTCTAGCACCCCACCCAACTTAGATACAATGTGGTGCCAGCATGAAAATTGAGGCAAAGGTGCTACATGGCATAAATTCCAAGGTCACCTACTGCTCAAGTTGCCTAATTAGCAAAAATCTCAAGATGCTTTAATGGTGATTTCTCTAAAATGGAAATAAATTAAAGCAGCAAAGAAGGGTAAAGATAGGAGAAAAGGTAGAGACACACTACCAACACCCTGGGAATGGCATCTAACCAACCAAGGATGGGACAGTGGTGTCAACACCACCGAAGGAAGAACATCTTTCTCCAGGCACAAGTCACAAAGCAAGATTGGCAAACTTATAGCAGTTTCAAAATGAGCACAATTCTCTTTTAAAAAGGCAGGTAGGTTTCCTTTTTGGGGAAAAAACCCTAAACTGAAAAGCAAGAAAGTAATCTAAAGAATAATTTTCTTGTAGTATGCCTTTTCATATTATTTTCGAAGGAGCACTTAGGTGGGTTATCAAAAAACTAGTGAGAAACTACTGAATAGTTGTAGGTTTGGGCCTGCATATGCAGATTTCAAGATCCATGGACTTGACAGCATCACAATTCACAATTTTTCCAGGTTTACCTGATTTTTCTTTCACTGCTTAATATTCATTAGGATTTTGATCATAGGTTGTAAGTTAATTTCTCAAGTGAGATTTTTCTATACAGCAAGTGGGCGTTATTAACAATGCATGAATGCCAATCAATGTTTAAAAAAGTGGAGGCATGAGGTGAGGCACCAGGACCTTTAGACAAGTGAGGCATAAGACTCAAGACATGAGGCTTAAGACTCATGGGCTACCAATTTTTAAGAAAACATCAAACTAATATGAAGAGTATAAAAATATGCATGAATATATTTGTGGAGGAAAGCATATATATGAAAAATGATACATAAACAAAGAAGTTGAGTAAGATTAGGAGCTTTAGAGAAAGCCATTGTATTAACCACTATTAAGAATCAAAACAATAAAATTTTCAACAATTCGTCCCCACCCCCACCCCTGGTGTTATTATTAAGAAGGATAGAACTAGCTTTTTCGAATTCAACTCCTTTCATTCTGATCTTGATCAGTAGACTGTAGCTAATCCAAGAACTGTGCATGTTCAATGGAAGACTCCTCACTTCAATGAAATCAAGACAAACTTTGATGCATCTAGAAGAGGTGGTGGAAGCTGTGCAATCAGTGCTGTGGCCCATGATCACTGTGGTAAAGTTATTTTTGTAGTCAGTAGAATCATTGGTCTGTGCTCGATCAATGTTTCAGAGGCGTGGGGCACTTCTGGATGCTCATCAGGTTGCTACTAGGTTCAGAAGCCATCCTATTATTATTGAAGGTGATTCAAGTGTTGTTATCAATACTCTAAGGGAACTGAGATGCCTTGGAGTGAGTATTCAGTCGGCTCTGGAGGAGTGCTACAAAGTTTGTCACGATTCCTTGTTCACTGTTTTGTACATGCAAGTCTTCAGGGAAACTATGTAGCTGATTGGCTGGCCAATGTGGAGCATGTAAAGTCTTACTCTTATAGCTCTTTGTCTCAAGGTTACTTCGCTTTGACTTCTAGGGCTGTTTAGTTGTTAGTTGTAGTACTTTTTCCTTATTTAACATAAAAAAAACTATTAAGAAGCTTTAAATGTTAAATAATACCTCAATGGCTTTAAATATGTTAAAGCATAAATATAATCACATATATGCATATACATATGTTCTTATATATACAGATCCTGCATAACATATATGCATATACATATGTTCTTATATATATACAGATCCCGCATCGGCAGGAGCCTCGTGGACTGGACCGCCCTTTATACATACATGTACATGTCTATAAAAATATACACAAGAGATATCTCAAGGAGTAAGGACTGTGCTTTATCCTTTAAGGCATGAGCCTCAAGGCTTTTTCCTTCAGCCTTGCCTCAGTGTAGCCTTGTACACTTTTAACGCTGATGCTATAATTGATTACAACCTTCATTGTTATACATAAACGAAAATGATACTTGCAATAATTGAATATATTTGAAATCAACTATTCGAAAGTTTCAATGATTACCAAGTCAAATACACTTTACTTGTCCATTCTGTGACTTGTATGCCAATAATTGCAACATAGGCTTCACTTCTCATGGCAGAACAACATACACATTGGGGAAAATAAAAGAAGTAAAGCTACTGCCAAAGACTAAACCAATATGCGTACTAAAGACAAGTTATAATAATCTACAAATCAGCACTCAGGGGCATTTATTTGACATTACTGCCTAGAGGATCCACTAGGAATCAGTACCTAGCAAAATTAAGGGGTTCGGCATTTTCATAGGGTCTGGAGCCATCAGGAAACAAAAAGGACAGAAGGACAAAATTAATATTAGATCTTAAATACTCTTCAACATCATACCTAAAGACAAAAAGGCCTTAAGACTAACTAAAACTCCTATAAAGCCTTCTAAAATTGTATTTTAACCTGATTACAACTTTACCTGAACTTACACAAATAAAACCACTAGCCAACATTCCTGTGGAAATAAGTCTCAGAAATTCAAATAACTGAAGATTAGAAAATAATCCACAGACATAAGTTTGTTCATAATTTTACATAACCCACATAGTTCATCTTCAAATAGTATATGATCTGGGGCTTCTTGGATGGGTAATCGGATAGCCTCCATCCTTCCCAATGACACAAGACTCAAGCCAAATATGCAATATTTTTAGTTTTTTACTACTAAAATTTAGTTCATGCTTTGTTGTTTGGGTTGAGATCTTGATATTTGACATATGACTCCTAAGTCCCAACATTAGATGCCTTCCATCCTGTATCGACAAAAGAGGGAAATAGGGCTATTCTTGAGAATATAGATATTAACCTTTCACAACATACACAAGACATAACAAACAAAAAGTGTTCAGAAGACAAGATTCGGATCCACTCCCACCTAGGGTATCTTCAAGATCAAAGATAAACCCAATCACACAATCATTACTATCCCATTTAACACACTATCAAGAGTGCAAAAAAATCCATTGATTGATATAAAGCAGACTATAGGTCTAAAAGTCATATCTTTTTCCTGGATTTGAAATTCTGAGCTTTGCATACTATGTTTATTGATTCATTGCAATTACAATAAAAGCACAGGCAGGCTTCAAGGAAGAAACACCAAACCAAAACGTTTAATAGTAACTGCAAATCTTGGAAGACAGAGATTCTGGAACAAGAATTCAAAGGCATAATTTTTTTTATCAACATTCAAAGGCATAAATATAAGGAAGTTCTTAACATTTAAGGCAATAGAATCTTGTTTCTAAAAAGGCAATAACAATTAAAATCGGGGAAGTTCTTTATGTTTCACCCAAAAAAAAAAAGTAAAATCAGACTGACCTCCTAATGTATTCAAACATTCCTGGGAGCTGAGATTCCTTGCTTTTAAAAGCTTCAACATCCATTGGAAGTGGTTTCATAAAAAAACCCATTTCAGGTCGCAACTTAACAGAGTATTTTTTATCACTGCACCAAATAGCCAGCTTGACAGGCAGAAGATGGTGATGAAAACGAACTTGAAGGATCCTTCTTGTTGTTTGGCCTGGTACTAGAGATGTAATCTCTTCCATAGGAACTACTGTTGGCACATCGTAAGATGTTGATAAGCTGCAACATCCACATGGGAATGTGTAACATGAGATAAATTCGGGGAAAATAAGTAAATAATAAAGAAAAAAAAGAGCATGCATGGAGGTGAAGCACCAACATTCATAGACCATAAATATAAATCCACCGACTCATCCAACAGATCTGTTGCATGAGTCAAACCTCAAAAATCATGCAAAACCATTTTATGGATTTCTTTTCAACCTTCCTGCAACATTGATATTTACCTGCCCAAGTTCCACTTGTACCTCCTGGTAGGGATCTCTAATCACAAATTATGGTCCATCAAGCAAGAACCATCAAATGGTGTCTGAAGTGATAAATCAGTGGATAACATATGCAATACACAATAATGCCAACTCTATTAGGGGTACAATTTGGGCAGGTTGGGCCAGGTTTAAGGTGAACCAAGGCCAAACTCTAAGAATTAGGCTTAAGGCCCGAGCACAAGGTTGAGTCCAATCTGTCCAACCCAGGCCCAGCCCGCACTGAAATTTGATGCACTCAGGTTGGGCTTGGGCCCAGGCCAGACTTGTGTTGGTCAATCAACACACACTAAAATTTGACATACATGTAGTGTACTTACGTATGCATTTATGTATGCATGTATATAGTTGGGCCAGGCTCAGGCTACCTAAGCGCTAGGCAAGTTTTGGACACAGTACCAGCCCAAAGGCCGAAAATCTAAGCCCAGCCCATATAAGATTGTAGGCTGGGTCAGTGCAGGCTTGGGTTGGGCCAGACAAAGTTGCACCCATAAACTCTATGATACCAAGATCAGTATTTTCCTCACAAGTCAATACTTAAAAGAATCAAATTAGCAAAATGAAGTCAAAAGCAGAAACCATTTAGGAATAAAGAAGCATAACATGGAATCACCTCTCATCAGTTTCCAATGCCTGGTTTGAAGATTCTGAACTCTGATTCTCATCTGTGAAACATATTTTTGTCAATATTTCTGTGGAGCAGTTTTTGAAGGAAGTTTCCACACATATGTGCATTGGGGATATGCTTGAGATCTCAGATGAAAATAAATAATCCACTCTCAGTCCATTTCCATTTGCAGGATCCAACAGGGCATAGGTTTTTGGTTTAACTCTATTGCCAATATCCCTTATAGAGATTCTTGCAGAAGATGGCAGTACAACACCTTGCTTAGATGGGGGGCATTCTGAAAAACCAGGTTGCTCATCCAGCCATGATTCCAGTGCTCTCTTAGACATCAATCCCCCTAATTCATCAGAAATAGATGTAGAACCATTTCCTTCTGCACTTTCATTTGGCTTACTGTAAGAAATACCAACCTCTGAAAACTGAATTAGTGAACTGGCAGGTTCATCAACTTCACTTGCAGAACCAGAATATTCACTTTCAGCTGAACTGGCAACAGAATGCCCAGAACTATAATTGGAAGTACTTTCCTCGTTCAAAGATCCAGATAATGTATCAGGATCATTTGTACCTGATGAATCACTATTAGTGGTTCTACCTCCTGCTAACGCCGTATCCATATCTCTGCAACTATCATCATAAACAACACTACCAGGCTTTGGAAGAGGTTCATACCCTGGAGCTGCATGAAGAACTATCTGTGAAAGAGATCCAGGAAGATAAAACCGATAATTGTTGGAGGTAGATAATGTTGATTTTGTTTTTCCACCAAATATATGTTCTGCAAGTGCAGTCCGTAAATCTGTATTTTGGGGTTGGGACGGTATTCCTTCCATTGGGCCTTGAGAAGCCATATGGCCAGCTAGCAGTTTTTTAAAAATCCGTGCCCTGTCCCTAACATCATAATCCGGATCATATTTGGCCAGGTCTAGAACATAGCTTAAGACTTCTCTGAATGTCAATAATTCTTCCCCTTGTGCAAATAACATAACCTGAGGAAAATATATCATCAAACTAGATGCATAGTACACAATCAGGCATCAGAATCAAGAAGAAATAACCTAATCTTACCTATCAGCCTAATCAGGAGTATCCTTTGATGATTATCAAAACGGAAAATAACAACTCAAGTATTAATTGCAAATTTGATAATAAAAGAATGCAATATAAAGTTATAAAGAGCACCATGAATGACAAAAAAATATCATTTTAGTATTTTAGATCTTTTGATTCACTCATCAATTAAGAATCAGCAACTAAGACTTCAATTAGGAAATAGAGAAGGTTTTCTTGTTCATAATCTAAATTCCCCATCTTCCCTTTCTATAGATTGCAGTGTTTTAAAACCCAACCCGGAGCTTGAACCATTCTCCCCCCTAGTCAACATGCTCGCAATTCAACCATCTAGGTCAATGGATCAAACCTATGATGTCAACATAAAATTGTTCAAAAAATAAAAAAATAAAAGAACCCAGTAACCTGTTGAATAGGTCAGGAAGATCAAGGGTTCAGCCACCTGGGTCAACTGGTTTCTGTAAAATAGCAGGTTGAAGGTTGACTCAAACCAGTATTTTGACCGGGTCACCAGTCCAACCAGACAAGTCAACAACAGGTTGAAAACACTAAAATATTGTCAAATAATTACTAAATCCAAATCCAATCCATAGGCCAAACTTTGTAACCATAAGTTTGTAAGAAAAGCCACAACATGTATCTTCCTTTTGCTAACATTTATTAGCTTGCAATAAAGGAATACAAAAACTGCCAGTATTCAATAGTGCTGTATACCTTGACTGCAGTACTAAGAATCTGATGCTTTGTTTCAAGTGCTTCTGAAGTAAAACATCGAGCAAGATACATCAGTACAGTAGGTAACATCCTAGGAATTATCTGCCCTAAAGAATTGTACTCCCCCACTATCCAAATAATCATTGCTCGGGCTGCAGGCACCTTGATCGAGTCCAAACTTCGAATTAATTGAATAATCACCTGTAAAATCATAAAGGAGCAGAAGATCATATTCAAATCTTGAGAGATTACATGTGAATATTCCATTCTCATGAAAGACTTAGTGATGTAATCTCAACATAAAAGTATTGTACAGAAATAGTTAAAAACATTAAAAAACAAACATAAGGGGAGCAACTAAAACATAAAGTGGGAAGTGCTTTCACAGACAATGACAAGGAGATTATGCTGGCATATCTAGAACCACTGGGCTTGGGAGAGTCAATTACAGCAGAGATCATGGCTGTGCTTTAGGAGTTGAAGCCGATATTCACTTTATTTCTTTAGGCCCACATCTCAGAGGGACACCATCAGATGGTAATTAGTTGGATGAAAGATAGAGGTTAGGACATTGACTATTGTTATCTTACATTTGAGACTCGGAGTAACCAGAACTATGCTAAGGGGACACAGTTTAAGTATAAACTCCTGGTTCTATATGTTTGGAGCAGAAGCAACTAAAAGCCATGCTCCTAAAATATTCAAAATGTAGTTTTAAAAACTAAGGTTGTATTTGCAATCCAAAAGGATAGATGACATCTTTTGAGTTGGAGAGCTTCTTATATGATCAATTACTTGAAACATGATAAGATTCACTGTCAATGTGGAAGTGATCCATCCTAATTTCTATGTTGTTATCTTATTTCTCCACTTTATCTCTTTTAATTGCATTAAGTATATTACACTATCACTTTATGGCCTATCATCCTACATTACAACCTACCCTGACAATAACACAATTCATTAATTATCACAATAATTACAGAGAGGAAGACAAACTTTCTTATCTTCCAGCTACATTATGAGCCCCAAGAGAAGAAACAAGAGAGAAAGAGTGAGCGGGAGAAGAAAAAATTAAATTACATATGTGCCCAAATCATGACTTCCCTGTCCACCCCTTGCTTAGCTAACCCATCAGCAAAAGAATTAGCTGATCTTTTCAGCCAAACAATTTTAACTTCCATTCCTCAAACCAGCCATCTGAATTTCCTCTTCAAATTACTATAACTCCATAATCCACTATCTTCTTTGTTCAGCCACCCAACCACCACCTCCGAGTTCCCTTCAATTATGAGTTTTCTGATATTCATCTCCCTACCTTTCTGAACACCTTCCATAACTGCGTGAATCTCAGCTCTGAGTGAATCACCCACCCCAATTGGGCCTGAGAACATGGCAGAAACAACCCCATTCTCATCCCTGAAGACACCCCCAATCCCTGATTGTCTGGGGTTCCCTATGCTACCTCCATCAAAGTTTAGTTTTATGAAGTCCGCAGGTGGGGGAGTCCAAAACACACTCACCCCAGCTTTAGTCTGGGTACAGCTAGCAATCTCACCCCACTTCCTCAGCATATCATCCACTGTATATTCTGTGAAGAGCTCTAGAGACTTCATCCACTGAATCACCCTTATGTGTATCAGGGCCCTCAACTCTTCAACACCTCTCTCTACATTAGAGAAGATTCTAGAATTTCTTTCCTCCAACAAAGACCAGCATATTGCTGCCCTCAGTCCTTCCCCTCTTCGTACGCAACCTGAAAAAAGAAGGATCAAAAAGACCCTGCAAATTTGAAGGAGGAATCCAGGTACACCCAAAAAGAGAACAAGCCCACTCCCAAATAGACTTTGCAAAATGGCAAGACACCAGAAGATGAAAGTTGGTCTCCACGTCAGCATTACAAAGAACACACCAATGAGGGGACAAACAAGTATTGGGTCTCTTCTTTTGGAGCAGACCACCCGTGTTGCTTCTTTCCAGAAAGGCTTCCCAACAAAAACTACCAACCTCAGGAGGAATTGGCCTGCACCAAACCTCATTAACAGGGAAGGGGGGGTTACAGGATTGGTGGGCTGGCTTAGTACTTTAAAGAAAGAGGCACAAGAGAAAGAACCAGTAGGGGTGGGGGTCCAGAATCTGGAGTCATCCTTAAAAGGGTCCAAGAAAACATTATCAAGAAGAGAGAGGAGCCTTGAAATACTGTCTAGGTCTGAGTCTCTCAAAGCCCTTCTCAGGCCCAGATTCCAACCAAACCCAGAGATGGAAGAGGATGGGGTCAAAAAAGAGGAAACTGTCTCATTTTTTAAATCAGAAAGTGCATACAAAGAAGGAAACTAGTCGTGCATACAAAGAAGGAAACTGGTCCTTAAGGGGTGCATTCCCCACCCACGTTTGTTCCCATAATTTTATGAGTTGCCTGAGTTCAAATCATACTTGATAAGAGGGGAGAAAACTGGTAATAAGTCATGAATGGCTTTCCAAGGCGAGGCACTAGTGGTCCTTGCCAGAATTCCAGCATCCCATCCGTTCAGCTCTAACCCACGTATGCTTACCACTATTTTGGCCCATAGTTTATCCTTCTCTAGTGGGAATCTCTACAACCATTTCCCCAAAAGTGCCAAGTTTCTTTCCCTAATATTCCCAAGCCCTAGCCCACCATTGCTTTTACTTCTGGTCACTAGCTTCCATCTTACCTTATGGTCCCTCTTCTCCTCTCCCGGCTCCCAAAGGAAGTCTCTCATCATTTTTTCCAGTCTATTAGCAACCTTAACTGGGATTTTGAACATTGAAAGGAAATAGATGGGTAAATTTGCTAGAGTAGCCTTAATCAGTGTTGTCCTACCTCCAAGAGAAAGATAATTCTTTTTCCAAGCTGCAAGTCTCTTCTCAAATCTTTCCACCACCGGATTCCAGAAACTCTCCCTCTTTGGATTGTCACCCAAAGGCAATCCCAAGTAGTTCAATGGCCATCTTGAGACCACACACCCTAGCACTTCTGCACTCTCTCTAGTTTCTTGCTCCTCCAAATTCACACCCACTACACAGCTTTTCTCAAAGTTCACCTTCAAATTTGACATCCGTTCAAAAAGTAGTACCACCAATTTCCTTTCTTTTCCTTAATTTATGAGAAAGATTAACCAAAATTCATTAGAAAAAGAAACTTTCTTTTCCTTAATTATGAAGTTTAAGTTCATTATTCCCTTGTATAACCACAAGACACCTCATTTACCTTCCTTTTTTTTCCTTCTCTCTTACCCACACAACATGGATAGAAACACACATGCATATAAATACCTTTTCTTTTTAAGAAGGTAAAGTATCATTTAATTGTATTAATTATCAAAAAGTGTACATGGTCCTCTGGACATTATACACATCCTAGGGACCCCTAAAAAGTTTATTCTCAAAAAAGATGAACAAAATTCATCTCTTCTAAAGCAATTTAGAGTGGATATCAAGCTCTTGATCAGCTCTATCAAAGTATTAATGACCACCTCCTCAGGGTTTGCCTTGTGCTTAAAAATCCTACAATTCCTCTCTTGCCAAATGGCCCATAAGACTGGTAGAGACACTACTGCCCAAAACTTTCTTCCTCTCTTGGTCAACCTTGGACTTGCCAACCTGTCAGGAGACTCTTCACCGAAGCTGGACAACATAAATACACTGGAATTGCCTTAGAGAAATGGAGCTAAATTCTGTAGTACTTGCATAACATACCCTGGTGTTTTAACATAACCTTGTTGTGCAGGTATGGCTGCTGGTTGTACCAGGGCATATACATGGACACCATATTTCTTTAGACAAATATATGAATACCTTTCCACTTCAAAAGAAAAAATGCATGGATATGTTATACAAGTCAATAAATATAGAACATATCTACTTGCATAAAAATTATATTAATTTATATTATCTTCTATGCTCCTAGTTCCATTCTCTGGCTCCCAAACATCAGCCAATTCACTGGCACTTGGCAGACAATTTGGCTAGAAGAGGAGTTGGGAGGGTGATCTTTATTGGGGTTTGGCCCTTCTGATATAGGTAGGTATGTGGGGATTTTTGGGATTTTTTCTATCAGATAAGCCATTTCTTAAGTTTGGTGTTGCTTGGGTTTTAAGTGGCTTTACTGGTCCTCGCCCTCAAAGAACTTGGAAACCTGAATTTTAAGACCATTTGTTCTTCTTTCAGTAAAAATTTTCTTTTTAGCAAAAAAAATGGCAGGGCATCTCTATGAGAAATACTTGCATATTGATGGAGAACTTCCTTAAAATTTCATACAAGAACCAAAAAAAACTAGAAGATTAGGATCTTATCTATTGTATTTCATTTAAAAATCAGCAAACAAAATGAACAAATAACTCCACTTTGAACCAAAAAATCAAAAAATGGGGGAGGGTAGGGTTAAGAATATTACTTTCTCGTGATTTTCTGGATCTTGTTTTATAATTGCTTTGACAGACATGATTGCTTGAGCCAAAACACCCGCCTCTCCATCCAGCAAGGTCGAATCACACACCAAAGATTCTGCAACTCAGGTGTTAGATCGTTAGGCTTTTTTAATCAGTATGTGATAAATCAATAGACATTAAATAAAAAGCCCTAAATATATAAAGTTGTGTAGAGAAAGAGAAAGTCATTGTAAACCTTGTCTAACCAAGGAGAGAAGTCCTTCCAAGCAATTGTTTGCCACAGTTCGAATTCTTTGAGCACATAAACCAATGGCAGCAACTGTATCAGCAACAAATCTTCTATCTGGATCTTTAATATAATCCTAGCAGCACACTAAAAGATAACAATCAGCAAATATTCTGGAATAAGAAGCAATTGTCGTTACTTATTCCAACTCTTCTTTTTCATTGTTGTTAGGCAATTATTCTTCATATCATGGGTGTTATTTTTGCAAGGATGGTGTGAGACTTCTTTCCATTTACTAATCTCCTCTCCATTTGACCCAATGGATTTTATTTAAACCACACTGCAATTTTTTTCCTTATAAGCATATGCCTTAACCAACACTGTAATTTATTTAAACCACTATTCTCCCCCTCCAAAGAAGATGGGAGAGATTTATGTGGGGATGCTTGAGAACTGGTATGTATTGACAGTTTGCGGAGAAGAACAGACACCTGACTATCTTCCAATAAGGAACAGGTTGATGTTGCAGTGATGACTTGATAACCATAAGCACAATTCTCTGGATTCACACAAAATCTGAGTTCAAGGATTTCAGAATGGATGATGATATGAGTGCTTGGATAAATGTGGTCACTTCTTCCTCCAGTCAGGCTGCACTTCCCCAATCTTAGTCAAGGTACCATCAAACTTAACTTTGATGGTTATTGCATAGAAAATCTATGAAAACCAGGTTGCTTTTAGATGTAATGGGTGTGACATCCTGCAAGGGTATTCAGATCTCACTGATCACAGTAATTCCATTCAAGCTGAGTTGTTTTCTCCTCTTGAAGACTGAATTTGAGCCACTCTCTAAGGTACAACAGGTTAGATCTATGGAGATGCACCAGGAGGTCCAGGACAGTGATTCTTTAGAATACTTGGAAGAAGGAAATACTAGAATCTTTAAAGAGAAAAACCAAAGCAGAGAAACCTTAATAGAAACAATTGTTATAAGGGTGGCACATTAGGTGAAATCCATGGAGGCCTTTGCACCTTTCTTCACTGGTGGCATCATTAGGAATTGAAAGCTGGTGCAACATTTTAATCAGCAAGAATTTTTCCAATCTCCTTTGTGCCCCTGCAGTCTCTAATATCATCATTATATTGAATGCTGATGGATGTAGCTTGTGAAACCTTGGCAGGCTGGCAGCTCAAGAGTAGGAGTATTTAGAAATATGACGGAGTGATATTGACCTTGTATTCTGAACCCATTGAACAAGGAGATTCAACTCAGGCTGGACTAATGGCAATTTTACAAGGGATAAAATTAGTCAAATCTCTAGGATATAGAAATCTAATGGTGGAAAAGGACCCTCGTACAGTCATGGGCTGGATAAAATAGCAATACAGTCTCTTGGAGATATAGATATATAATGAGACAGCCAGACAGGTTGAGCAGCTGGCCATGGAGATACTAACAGATTGGCAATATGGGTTAGCAAGGCAAGGGATTAACAGAAGTCAGTTATACTAGGGACTGATTCCCCAGGGATTTGCTTTATAGGATTTTAGGACACATAATTGCCCTCTACTCAGGTCAGATAGGGTTTGGTAATTCAGTCCAGGCAGAATTATTGACAGTGCTTCAAGGCTTGAGATTTGGGAAAGCTGAAAACTACAAAGATGTGATAGTGGAAGGAGGCTCAAAAACCATTATGAATGGATAACAACCAGTATAATTTTTAAATGCATTACTTATTATTTTTAATTATTAAGTATACACTAATTTTTAGAAACATAATTTACATATTTTGCAATAATTTATTATTAATTATTTAATTWATTTATTATTAATTATTTAATTAATTTATTATTAATTATTTAATTAATTTATTATTTTCAATTATTATCTAATAAATTATAAATCTATTAATAATTTTATTTTTAACATTTTTGTTATTTAAAAAAATTATTAGAGATTTCATGTAAGATTTCTGCAATCATGAGGGGCATTGGTGTCCAAACATGTTTAAAATCCTCCGAACGTGGTCAAACGTGCTCAAGTCTCCAAGCATTTTCATAGGATTTTCAGAGATCAGAACATGGGTTTGGAGGTCCTAAAGAACAACTCCCAGTTGCTGAAAAGCAAAATTTTCAGCAATCGGAGGTCAATTCAGTGGTACCAATTGATACCTTAATCATGGAAGGAGACTCTCAAACTGTTATCAACTGCCTAGCAACAAAAAGTACAGCCCTATGGCAGTATAGACACATCATGAGAGATACAAAAGTTGGCACTAGGGCTGCAAGTCCAACTCCAATGGACATCAAGAGGAACTAATATCCTAGTTGATGCTCTAGCCAAACAAGGGGTGGATCGGCCACATTCGTACTAGGTCGTAACAAAAACTAATTAAAAAAAGGGGCAGCTCAGTACACGAGGCTCACACCAATGCGGGGTCTGGGGAGGGACAGATGTACGCAGCCTTACCCCTGCACATACAGAGAGACTGTTTCCAAGATTTGAACCCTGGTCACCCAGGTCGCAATGGAACAACCCAATATTTGTGCCAAGGCCCACTTCTGACCAAAACTGATCTGTTATATAATTTAATACTTGTTTGAATGGTGTTAAGGGGCGGGCAACTCAAGTTACCTAGAGAACACTAGTGTTTTTCAAATATACATTTCACATTTCATGGCTGTCATTAATAGTGTTGAATTGCCTATCAAAAAAAATACCTGAAACTCTTGAAAAATAACTGATATTGATGAATCTGTGGCAATGGTAGACAGTATTTCAARCTTCAAAGATTTTATCTGATATGAATCTGATGAATTTATGAAGAAGTCTTCAGCATATGGTGCAAAAAGAGAAGGCATTGCCTTAGCAAACACTTGAATGTTGCAAAGGACCTGTACAAGATAAGAAAAATAACCAGCATTAACTCTTAGCAACCATAAGCTGATGGTACCCAAACAGAGAAAGAAAAAGTAAATAGTAAGGGCCTAAGCAAAAATAGAAACTGAAAATAAAATCAATAGCAACAGTAAAAACAATAAAAGGAAGAACGACATATTTACCGAAGTTAACAGCCTAATCAATCAACTGACATGGCATGATATCAACTTAGCCTTCACTTTCACTTTTTTCCTTTTTTCTTTTTTTTTTCTTTTTTTTGTTTTGTTTTTTTTTKGGGGGGGGGGATTGTAAGATCCCTGTGTGTTCTTTTAAGAAACTATGGGCCCACAAGAGAGGAAATTTTCCGGAGGAACATATCTGGAACCATGATACCCTTCCAAAATAGATTTTATGATCTGAACAGTGGCATCTGGTAAATGCTCAACAAGAGACCAGCTATAGCAATGGAGGAAATGCCACTTCAAGATCTCACATGCAATTTATGTGGATAAGTGGAGGAAGCAGCTGACCACCAGTTTCAGGATTTTGGGAATCAGCCAGTTCATCTGGTTTAACTTTTCTATCATTTTTGGCATGCAGTTGGTTTTCCCGCCATCTATCATAAAGTTTTTTTTTCTAGGCTAGCAGATGAAGAGCTTGAGCAAAAACCGTAAAGTTTTATGAGCTAGTTTTCTGAATAGCTGAGTGAGAGGAAGGCACAAGTTTCTAAGAAGAAGAGTTAAGGTCTGGAGCTCATACTAAGCAAGGCTATTGGAACATCATACTCTGTCTACAGCTGCTGGTTATACAGGGATGCACATGCATCATATGCAGCACTACTTTCTTCTCATTTTTATTAATACATGATAATTTACTTTCTCCAAAAAAGGTAAAAATAATTTCATTAATAAAAAGAGAAAATGCAAGAGCAAAGGTGATGGGGAGCCACCTTCAAGGAGAATAAAATATTCTTATAAACAGAAAATAAAAAATCAAGCATCCTGTACGTCATCAAGAGTGATAAAATAAAGATCAAAAATATGATCCAAATTATTGACCAATCAACATGTTTGAGTTCCAGGTGCAAGTCTAAAGGCAATGTGCAACTAAGCTGAACTTCTTGAGTGACTTGACCATTACGTTGTTGTTACGAAAAATATTATTGATGTATTTATGATGAGCAAGCTCCAACAGATATTCAAAAGCATGAGTCATAAGTGGGAGATGACAATTAGCAATATCTGAAAACTTATAGTTGTCACAGGTTCACTTTAATGCTCATTAAGAAAGTCAGAAAATCAGATAAAACAAAACAAAAGTAATCTTTTTTGTCCATAAAATTCAAGTGACAAAATCAGATCATTCTTGAGAAATGTATGTCAAATTTCTTACCACATATTTTGAATCGGGAGATGATCTGAGGACAAATAATAGAGGCTTGACAATTCTCTTTATGTCCTCCTTAGGTGCCATAATCCAGTGTACTCCAGAAGCTGCAAGAACTACTGCACTGTTATGACTCCACAACAACGGTGATGTACACTGCAGAAAGATCCTCACATCATCATTATCTTTGCTGGAAGTAAGACTAGCACGATCCAACTCATTGCCACTAACACTTGTGCAAGTTGAGTGTGACAAATATTCATCTGGTCCTTCTGTATAGCATCTGGACAACAAAGTAATCAATTTCGGCAAATCAGCTCCCCCTTCAATATTTATACCTTGAATATCACCACTGTCCTTTAGGGCTTCATCATGAAAATCCCCACCATGCTTTTCAGGACCAGAACTCTGAGTGCAATAGGAAGAAGTCATAATGGACTCTTTAGCAAGCCCATATTTTGCTACTACATATCGTAGAAGGATCCCAATCAAGATAATCTGACCCCACTCTTCAATGTCAGGAAGAGTTTCACATAACCTTTTAAAGTTTCTGCTTAACAATGATAGATTATTTGGACAGATGTAATTAAATGCAGCAGCTGCAGCTCCAACTACTCCAGGGGAATGGTCATTTAACAGCATATTGACAATCTGCATAACATTCCCATATTGTATCCAATGCTGTAAGCAATAATAATAATAATAATAATAATAATAATAATAATAATAATAATAATAATAATAATAATAATAATAATAACAATAATAATAATAATAACAAGAACAGCAAAAAATAACATTACAATATATATTAAGCCTGGATTGGCCTTCAATATAGGAGAAACCCCATTCCCTACTCCTTTCATGCACATGCTATACAAGCAGTGGCATCAAAATCACATCACCATATGCAAACCCAGTCAACAACCCTGTACTATTATCTCTGGATGAGCCACCATCTTTTGTTTTGCCCTTTTTTTCCTTTTACACTGTCTGGAAGATATGCAATAGAAAACCCATGAAGTGATGCATCCTAAACAGCCTCCAAGAATATTGACCATACAGTAGAGCAGCAGGAAAGATAAGTTTTTTTGCATCTTTTGAAGAACATTGAGAGATCCTTCAAAAGTATAGTAAGTACCTCTTCAAGTGCAGAAGTGTTTTCCTCCTGATGCAAATCATGCAGCTTTGGAAGAGCATTGGCAGCACACTTTCTAACATATACAGATGGATCTCTGGCACACTTACCCACGGCTACAAGAACAATAGGAGCAACTACATGTAAACGAATTCCAGCCATCGCACGGAGTGCCCATGCCCGCACCAGTGGATTTGGATCTGACAAGTCCTTCTGGAAACAATTAATTGATAGCAATGCTTCATTTGGACGCCTGATGGGAAAACCATAAGAATAATTAATTATTAAAAACTCTAGAAAAGCAAAAGAAATACATAAAAAAAAAATCCCTTAAGGAAATATGCCCTTGGATTCAAGCCCATATATGAACTGAAGCATTGCAATTAGACCAGTAACACAGATACTTTGTTCCTCTTGTACTTATGTGTGTGTATGTGTCGAATATTATAGAACCATGGCATACTTGATCAAACTATGCTTATATCTAAGAAATTCACAACTAGTGATCCATGCCCATGATCAACAAATGAAAACAACAGTCAACTTAAATTCCATCTTGGTGATTGCATCACCCCTCGTAAATTCAATATCATACAATAATAAATAAGCGGGATGAAACTAATGGCTGTAGCATACTTTTCAGCATAATGCAGTAGATACAGGTAAACAAGCTTCTTTACTTCCAGAGACTGGGATGCGACGTTTTTGACGACCTGCCACTCCATCATAAGAGGATAAATAAATTAAAACAGTTCCTGGATTTGAAATTAAAAAATAAAAATAAAAGAGGCGCAAATAGCATTTGATTGATTATCACTCTAAATTAACGGTTTCTCTTTACAGATCGGGTTTTCCTTTCCTTTTTTCCTTACTCGATTCCACCAACTAATATAACATATCAGACCGAACACTGACTAAAATTATTAAAAATGACAATTTTTCTCGGAAAAAAAATACCGAATTATACAAAGAGAATGTAAAGATGGCGCATGACTAGTTCTCCCATTGCTTCTTAAAAATATTGAATCAAATTGAGCTACCTGGGGAAAGAAATTGGAGACATCGAAGCCCTGAGCAATTAGAGCGAGTAACCGCTTCAAGGCTTCACGTTTCTCGGAATCGAATCGGCTGTCAAGCAGGGGAGCGATGCTGACGTCTTCAGGGTCGTCATAGAGGTGAGCGTCCGTACCGATCCGGAACACCATCGTTGACGCCTTGCTCAGGCTCTCGGCAGTAGCGCCGAATTGGGGAAACATCTCTAAAAATGGGGTTCCGAATTCTCTTTATCTGCTTATAAATTATTTCCACTGGCTGTATGGTATGTGCAATGTTGATAACCAAGACTTCCTACTGTCAGCAGTTTCAGATATAAAGAATTTCCCGGGAATTTCAGCGGGATCACGAGTGGCATACAAATACCAGTGGAGCTAAAAATGTCATCACATGCTGCGAACAGCGCTTAACTACACCTATTTTGATTCCTTGCAAGAATTATCCATATAGCTGAAGCCAGAAGGCGCGCGGCAGGCTGAAATTCAGGGCTCAGACCTAGATTTAGGGGTGATCATGGGCCTGGACCGGTCCGAGATCGGTCCAGAACGGCCGAGCTTACGGGCCATTGGCTCATAATACTCTTGATTTCTTTACTAACAAAAAAATAGAAATAAAAAATCCATTTTATAGATAAAATAACACTACACCATTTTCAACAATAAACACTACACTAAAAAGAAAGAATTTACAAACTATTCAATACAAACCTGAGGGCTGTCCCTAGGGTTGAAAACAAACTGAGTATTTCACGAGTTATTCCAGCTTGGCTCGTGAAAAGCTTCATTCAGCTCGGTTTAAATTGAATTTTGAGTCGTGTTCAAGCCTAATATATAGGTTCTTTTTTTTATAATTGAAATAATAATATATAGGTTCATTTGCTAATCGAGTTGAGTTCAGGCCCAATGAAACTCTATGGGGCTTGCAAGTCTAATACATACATACATATATTAATAAATAATTTTTAGAGTAAAATACAAAAACCTCCCCTCAAGTTTCTAACAATCATAAAAACCTCCCCTATAGTTTCATTTTAACAAATACCTCCCCTGGACTTTTGAGAAATTCGACAAAAACGTTAGATTAATGCACCATTTTTTCTAAATACCCATTCTACCCTTTTATAAATTATTTTACATACAAAATTATTAAAATAACTATGTTTTAATTTGACAAAAACCTTCTTTAACGGTCATATTCTAACATTTTTTGTTGAGTTAAAACAATATTATTTTAGTAATTTTGTGTGTAAAATAATTTATAAAAAGGTATAATGGATATTTGAAAAAAGTGGTGCATCAGTCTAATGTTTTCCATATGGGAAGGTGATGGAAGGGAGGTTTTTGTCGAGTTTCTCAAAAGTTTATGAAAGGTATTTGTTAAAATGAAACTATAGGGGAGGTTTTTATGATTGTCAAAAACTTGAGGGAGGTTTTTGTATTTTACCCTATTTTTATTATATGTATAATAATATTTTATATGTAATATGCTTATTTTTTTGTATGTAAAATAAAAATGATTTTTATTTTTTATATGTATAATAATAAACATTGTATATATAATATTTTAATTTTTATGATTCTTAATTTTTTTATTGTAAATTAAAAAAATTGTATATATTTTTTTTATTTTTGTTTTAGAAAGCTTGGCTCACAGTCGAGCTCAGATATACAAGCTTTTGAATTGAGCCAGATTTGAGCTAAAGTCTCTAGCTTGAGTCTAGCATTTCTTTTGGTGCATCAACAACCGGAATCCACCCCTAGTTGCCCCACCAAATACAATGTTTGACAAAACACTTGGCTTTTTTTGTGCTATGGTGTGAGTAAGGGTGTCAATCGACCGGTTTTGGTTTGGATCCAATCCAATCTAAACCTTATCAAATTGGATTTCGATGGTCCATTATAATTATTAGATTGGGCCAATTCAAAATAATTTGGTCCATATTCCTATTGGTTTGAATTAGACCTAAACCAAATTTCCAATAATCCGATCATGAGGCCAAACCCTTGTCCAATTTGAAATCAATCAAAATTGAAAACAGCATAAAATCACTTTTATAAAAGTACTTTTATGAAATGTATATTTACGAAAGCACATTTATAAAAAATAGTTTTACAAAATCACTCTTATAAAAGAACTTTTACAGAAGTTTTATAAAAGTACTTTTATGAAAGCACTTCTATAAAGTACTTTTACACAAAGCACTTTTATGAAATCATTTTTACAGAAAAAAAAGAACTTTTACGGAAGTACTTTTATGAAAGCACTTTTAGAAAATCACATTTATGAAAGAACTTTTACAAAAGTACTTTTCCAAAGTACTTTCAATAAAGCGTGCTTTTGTAAAAGCACTTTTATGAGAATATTTTTATCAAAGTGCTTTTTCAATGCTAAAAGTGCTTTTATATAATTTTTGATATTTCATTCGGTTTGGATTGGATCCAATCTAATCCAATTACATTTTAATGGATTGGATTGGATTTAGAACGGATTGGGTCCAATCCATTTATAAGTGGACTCACATTGGACTGGATCAGATTGGACCAAATCCGTCCAATTGACACCCGTGCAGAGCAGTCATATTAATATATTTATACACAACTAAATTGAAGCCATTTTGGGTACACAAAATTTGATTGATCCAAAAATTATACTTCTAGGCTAAACGACAAAAGGTGAACTGAGAGAATCTACAACATCCTTTGCATCAGAAAATATTAGAATGGATGTTCATTGATTATCCTTGGGTAGAAGAAAAGTCATCCAAATTGCTCTTAATTCAGCCACCACCAGCTCATGTACCCATATATACCACATGCAACCATAATAAAATTATTGTTACAATCAAAAACACAAATTCTGTTAAGTAATCTCGCCTGAGTTAGCAACACCCCCGTCGCAATGAATAACCATATTTTGACCCAAAATCTCATGATATTTTTCCAACAAAATAGAGTTTCCAGCAAAATCTGACCCAATGCCCCTTGACCTAAGCATTATGAACTGAATTCAAAACCCGATTAGTTGATCTATTGGCATTATTAAAGATATAACCATCACGATCTTTCCAAACAAAATACCAACCAATAGCTAATTAACCATTCCAAAGCTTCACCAAAGGCTCCCCAAGAGACCAAAGAAATAACAATATCCGAAATAAAGTCCACAAAAGAAAAATACTACTGAGAAATGACTCTTAAATTCAAGGGCCACCAAAAAGAATAGCCCTAGTAAAAGAATAATAACAAAACAAATGCAACAAAGATTCTTGAGCATTCTTACATAAAGGACATATGTCATCCACTTTTAGGAAAGATAAACGTCCTAATGACTCGCTACATGAATTATTTGAACTTGGGAGGAATTATAAGTTTTCAAACTTTCCATATCAAATTTAAAATGCTTATACCCAATTGAGCATTAACCCTGTTTCATTCCAAAAGATAAAATTGCTTAACAAAAAAATTTCCCATTAGCTGTGCTCTTCCAAATAAACCTATCCTCCTTACTAAACCGAAAAATATGCATGTATAAGATAAAACTAGCATCATCATCATTTGGTTTACATTTTGATGGTCCCACCTCCTATCATCGTAAATAATCAACTCCCCCGCCATTTATTTTTATTTTCTCTAATTAGAGGACCTATCAGAACATAAAAAAGACTCATCCTTATAGATCCAAGGGAAATTCCAAACATTAATATGGGAAATAGTGTAAATTTGCATACAAGATCTGAGACCACCAGCCTTTGAAGAGACTTTGCTGAATTTTTTCACGTAGAGGTTGGAATCTTCCTATGAATTAATTCACCATCAGTTAAGTATTTGCTTTAAGCAATTTAACCCACAGCTTATCTACTCCCCCTGAAAATCTCCAAGCAGGTTTTTCCAAATGAGTTACATTAAAATTTTCAACGTATTTAAATTCAAGATCCCCTTCTTGAACAGGAGCACTCGTATTGTTCCAAATAGCCCATTTTACCCCTTTTTCCAAAACCCTCCCCCTTCCACCAAAAACCCATTTCAACTTTCTCCATTGCTAGAAGAGTCTTCTTTGGGAATTGCACAGTGCTCATGCAATACACTGAGTTTGAATTCAACACATAATGAACCAAAAGTTTTCCTTCTAGCATATAACAAACAAGAAGCCTTCCATTTTGCTAATTTACCTCTCATCCTCTAGAATAAATTCCAACAATTCTATTTTGCACTTCCACCATAACAAAAGAATACCCAAATACTTGCAATCTCTTTGAAGAATTGACATTTGCATTTGTCTCTTAATCATTTTGGTTCCTTTGGACAGTATATTTCTACTAAACTAAATGCCTGATTTTTGAAAATTAACTTGAAGTCTAAATAACCTTTAACGGGAAAATCTGAAAGATTTAATAATTTTATTTAATATTAATTAATTTTAAATTAATAATCAAATTTTGTCACTAATGAACTAAAAGTAATCAAAGTTATTGTTAATATCTAAAATTTTAATAATTGCATCTTTCATTTAATGTTGATTTACATAAAATAATTATTGTTAATTTAATATTAATAAATATTTTCAAATAAAGTTAGTTTTATTAATAATTTGTATTAACTTTAATAATTGTTATTATTTTATTATTTTTAAATAAAATTTTGATTAACTTTAAATAAATAAAAATAATTACAAAGCTATGATTTTTATTAATTTCACTAATAATTAACAATTATTTAGGAATGACAACGAGGTGGGTTCAGGGTGGGGCACCCCATCCCTGTCTCTGCCTCAAAGTCAAGATACTCTACCCCATCCTTGCCTTGTCTCTAGAGTCAGGCGGGTTTAGGGCAAGGCAACCACTCCTCAATGTTGAGTGAGTTCAGGGGCAAGGGACCCCACTCCTCATCAAGGATGGGAAATCCTCGAATTTCCCGCCCTGTCCCTAGTATTGGATGGGTTCAAGTAAATGTGTAAATCGGGTCGTGTAGGACCGGCATGGCATGACCCACATGTGGTCCACACAAACGTGTCGTGTTGGCCCACGGGGCGTCTAGGGCCGTGTCTCCCTCCCTTGGGATAATTTGGCCGTGTCATGGGCCGAGCTGTTCCATGGGTCGAGCCTTGGGCCAGGCTAGGCCATGGACTAGGCAAAGCTATGAGAGGTCCATTTAAAAAAAAAAGATGTTTAAATTTTTAAATTTGTATTTTATATGATTTTTGATGTATATAGTTGTTTATATATACAATTAGACCTATTCACATGTCGGGTATCTTAATTAAAATACTAAAAAATAAAAAAAAAATATTTATGATTTTTAGTATTTTTAATTAAAAATCCAAAAATTTTGAAAAACCTAAATCTTAATTAAAATACTCAAAATAATTAAAAAATTAAATTGCTTGTATTTTATTGCAAAATTACTGAATAATACGAGAAAATACTGTATTTTAATTATTAATAGTAATATAATTATCAACAATCGATTTTTGCTTGGACTGTTGTTGGGACCTTCAATTCACCTCAAACACCCGATCAGACCCATCCTACCTCTTCAAAACACCCAAAAATCCAAAATATCCAAATTTCACCCCAAGAGCCCTCAGATTCACCATTAAATATGGCTGATACCAATTCAATGCTTCCGATCAGCCCCGATTAGACATTACCCTTAGACCCCAAAATCACCCTTCCCTCATTGTSGAATGCCCAAATTCCTAAAAATACTCCCTTGGGCCAATTACCAAAATACCTCTTGGATCAATTACCAAAATACCCCTAGATAAATTACCAAAATACCCCTGACCAAATTTCTAAATTACCTCTTACACCAAATTACTTAAATACCCCTTATCAAATTACCAATATACCCATTTTTTACAAATTTCCAAAATGCTCTTAACCAAATTACCAAAATACCCTTTCAAAGTAAAMAATACCAAAATACCCTTCTCCAAACTCCCGAAAATACCCCTTGACCAAATTCCACCTGGACTAATTACTAAAGTATCCTTGACCAAAGTGCCAAATTACCCATCAAACCAAATTCCTAAAATACCCCATTGGACCCCAAATTACCAATTCCAACTTACCTACCAAAACCCCATTTTTTTGAACCCTTTTCTGATTTCCACTGAATTATAAACATTCAAAATGTCAAGGCCCCCACTCTACACACCAATGCACGCCCATGAATTGGCATCAATTCGGAACTTTCACCCACTCCAACTGTAATTTGGCCTAAAAATTCTGATCCGGGCTGAACCGTCACTCTCCAAAAAAGAAGGATGGCGGAGCTCTCAAAATCAAAAAAGCCTTTTCCTCCCCACTATTCATTTGCACAGCGCAGTGCTTATTTTCTCATTTTTGCATATATTTTCGTCGTATAGTCGAGTAGGGTTTTGCAGACGATTCGTCGGAAAGGAGTTCCCCTAAATCGCCTCTTTCAGTGCGAAGAGTTATTTTTTTACTGACTCGGTTATTATCTTCTCCGACTGGTTGTTGTTATTGTTGCAGTTGGTTTGTTTATTTGCTTCTCTTCTGTTGTATTTTCCATTTTGTTTTTCTGAAGCTTATTTTCTTCATACCGGGATTGGTTCGTTTGCATTCATGCATGTTTTATTGTCATTTGGTGTTCTTATGACTTATCGTCCGTTTTCTCATGTTCTTGCATTTTATTTTATTGTCTTTCAGTTGCAGAGTTGGAGGTGGTGATACACCCAGACTATCTCATATCTGGCTGCAGGTATTTCCAGCATTTTCCTGAAATGTGCTTATTTTGTCATAGCTTTACTTATTGTGCGTATTTTAGGGGTTGCAGCCAGAAGTTATGCATGCTGTATATCATTTAATACCACATTCTAATACAATGCCATTATAGAATTATAATGAAACCGATTCTTGTAGCAACCAAATCTGGTTTATTATTTTAATTAGCTATACAGGGCATATTAGGAATTTGCAGTGCATATACGATTTTTAATTGCTTTTTATTTGCAAATGCCTGATAATTGATAATCTCATCTTTCTCCACTCCTTTGATCTATGCGTGTGCGTGTTTTAACTTTTAACTGATTGTTGCTGTTTTTTTCCCTATTTTGACCTGATAGCGAGGCAATTGCATTATGAATTAACTGGCACGCCCCTTCTCTATCCACTTATCTTCTTTTGTATCTGGCGAATGTTCTGGTTCTGCCACCAGTTTAGGCCTTTGGGCTGAAATATATCATGTTGATACCCCGTAACGGTCCTTGCTTTTGTTTCTTATAATCTTTTGAATGATTATTACTCCAGGATATTTTTCTTGGATTTCATTTTTGCATGTTTTAGTGTACTCTTGTTGTTTTTCCATGGTTCTGCCACAAGGAATCTTTTTCCATCATATCTCGCAGTTAATTTGTTTTGGAATATCTCAAGCTCTTCTTTTAATTGAGTTTGGTCTTACTGCATTAGTGACAGTAAATTTATGTTGTTTGCTAGACATTATTATACCTCTCGTTGCTTAGGTGATGCCATAGGCAGCCCATGCAATGGCAAGGTGGTTCAGCAATGGCTGGGTGGTGCCTAGAAACAAGGCATAGGCAATCAAGTCGATTTCTATGCATTTTCTTTTGTTTTTAATCTTTTATGTTTGTTATATATCTGGYTTCTGTATCATATTGATGCAATATATTACTTGTTTTGGATTGTTCTATGTGCACTCAAGGAGGCTTCAACGGTTTGACCATATGGGTCAACGATGGGTTGAAAACATTGTCCATGGTCTGAGCAAGCAGGCTTAAACAAAGCATAAACCATTCAAGTTTGAAAAATGTTTTTACTTTAAGTGCACATATTTAGGTTACTTACGTTGTTTTTACATGTAAGTATAGTAACAAGGGGTTGCTTTTCTAACTACAAATATTTTATTCAATATTTCTTCTGTGAAGAAAAGACAAAAGAAAAGAAATCAGAAGAGATGGAGATTCTATTTTGTTTCTGAAATAGAGTTTTGCCCCAGCTTCCCTTTGTGTATGTCTCTTTTACTTAGTTCTTATTATGGCTAGCTACATATAATTTGTGATACTTGACTCTTTATCTTTTATTGCTTGTAACTTTACTGTAAAATAATAAATGCTGCATATGATATGCTATTGTTTTTCTTCTGACATATATTCTTTTCTGTCTTATTTTGTATTGCAGATTACTTGTTTGAAGAAACAATGGATTGCAGTTCTGAAGAAAATTCAGATATAGGTGAGTCTGAGATAGAGGAGCATGAAGATAAATCTTACAAAAAACTGAAGAATGGAAATTACCAAGTAAAGACCTCAGGAGAGAGTTTTAGATGTCCTTTCTGCCCGGGGAAGAGGAAACGGGATTATCTCTATATGGAGATTTTGCAACATGCTGCTGGTTTGGGTACAGGTTCACACAATAGGAGTGTCAAACAGAAGGCAAATCATTTGGCATTGRAGAAATATTTGAAAACAGAAATAGCTCCAGTAGGAGGTCCATCAGAACGTGCAGCAGAGACTAAGCCTCCAACTGGACATAACCATGACGAGAAATTTGTTTGGCCTTGGACAGGTATTGTTGTTAACCTTCCAATTGAATGGAAAGATGGAAGGTATGTAGGAGAAAGTGGCTCCAGGCTTAGAGATCAGTTAGCAAGGAGAGGGTTTAGCCCTGTTAGGGTCCAATCTTTATGGAATCATCGTGGTCATTCAGGAACTGCCCTAGTAGAGTTCAATAAAAACTGGCCTGGATTTAATGATGCAATGTCATTTGAGAAAGCTTTCCAAGCTGATCATCATGGGAAGAAAGATTGGTATGCAAGAGAACGCAGAGGATCCAATATCTATGCATGGGTTGCCCGGGATGATGACTACAAATCAACTGGTATTATAGGAGAACATCTTCAAAAAATAGGAGATCTGAAAACCATTTCTGAGATTGTGGCAGAAGAAACAAGGAAGACAGACAAACTTGTTTCAAACCTGACCAACACGATTGAAATCAAGAATAGACACTTAAAGGAAATGGAATGCAAGTTCAGTGAAACATCCATTTCTCTGAGCATTTTGATGGATGAGAAAGACAAGCTTCAGCAATCATTTAACAAAGGTATATACGTACTACTTTTGAGCTATAGATACCAGAACCTAAACCTTAATATTTTTACCATGGTCTTGCATAATGTCTCATATTGCATGTTTCAGTTTCCTCAAACTAAATTTGTTACATATACACGTTTTTATTTTGGCACTCTGTAGATTTTGGTTACTTAAGCTTATTTATGTTTGCTTCCATGTCTACCAGAGATACAAATGATGCACCAGAGGACACAAGACCATTTGCATAAGATTTATATGGAGCATCAAAAGCTCAGGTCAGATCTGGAATCTCAAAGGAAAGAACTTGAACTACGTGGCAAAGAGTTGGAGAAGCGGGAGGCTCAAAATGAAAGTGAGAGAAGAAAACTTTTTGATGAAAGGAAAGAGGTATTATATGTTGTAGTCTCCTTCTATTATTATTTTTTTAGTACATATGGACTATCTGAAAAGGACAGCCCAGTGCACGAGGCTCCCGCCAATGCGGGGCCCGGGGATGGACAGATGTACAGAGCATTACCCTTGCATGTACAGATTGGACATATGAACTATTTATCAAAATGAAATGGATTGACTATCTGAGAAATAAGAGTTTCTTCAGCTTTTGTATAATTGGTTCTTGCATATTATACAATTGCCACACTTTTAACTCAATATTACAAATGATTTTGGAGCATTAAGAAAAAGAGACCTTGCACCTGGAACTAGACAGTCGGTCTCAATGCAATTATTCAAGAAAATGTATACTGACCAAGTTTCTGAATAGTTTTAGTAATAACTTAGATTTTTTGTTGAGTAAAAGGGACATACTGACCGAGGTTGATACTTATCGGGCCGTATTGGTCGATATGTATCRTATCGGGGGCTTCCTGATACGCTCCTCCAGGGGGTGTTTTGGGATTTTGACATGTTCAGGGGGTGGACGGGCCTTAAACTGGCCCCTCTGAACCACATTTAAAAAACTAAAAAAAAAAAKAAAAAAGAAAAAGCTATAGATACTGCCCGATACGCCTCTACTGGTGTATCGATATTTTGAACCTTGATTCTGACATTTTCTTTCTTGTTGCATAAATAAATAAGTGTTCGTTAATTGTTTACGGGCTTCAATGAATTTTTTTTTGAAGCACCATTTTATGCCTTGCATGCAGCTATTTGATGTTTAATTTTTGCTGCTTGCTAATTGTTTCTATTCATGCCAGAATTGCTATAGAGTGTAGACTAAGTATGATCATGTGATCAGTTGTCTTTCAAGTCCTGAGATATCCCAGTAGGAAATATAGAAACAGGTTCGAAACCTACTGAGCCTGTGCTACAAAACCATATGGATGAAAGATTTCATTCTGGCATTCAAAATTGCCTCTATGTTTTATGTGTAGAGACATCAAAGTGTGTGTCTGAAGCAACAAGGACCCTTGATACACAGATACCTGTAATGCCTAGTATTTAGGTATTGGACGTGATACATACTGGATGATACAATACTTGTTACTATTTAACAGAGTTCTAGATGTACTTTATGACATTAACACTTCTAAAATATGCCAAATTACATAATTTCACTTTATGAAAATATATACATGTTAGAAATTTTATTAAATTTGTTATAAAATAAGTCTTGAAAAGTGATATTTACGTTAAAAACTAGATATGAAGCACCATATAAGCATGTTATGTGAGATATTCATACCCATATATGTTTTTAATGACATAAATGGGTTAGATAAGTGATAAACCCACATTGTGTCGACCATATCAGGATAGGGTTAGGTCAGCCTCAATTAGGATCTCAGGTTGGGTTTAGGTTTAGGGTACCTGGTCCCAAACCCAGTCTGTTGACATTGTATTATTTTAGCATTACATTTGTAAAATAGCATTAGTTGACTATATGTGTGCTATGCGTGTGAAGTGCGATGGGGCGGGCTGGGTTCGGTATCCCATTTCATTAGTCTGGTTAGGTTTGAGTTGATCAAAGCCCATACTAAACCTCTTTATCCATGTTTGAGATTTTAGGAAGTGGAGAGTTGTATCCTTGTTACCAATATCTGTCTGTGCCATTGTGCCTGCCCCTGCTTGTATCTGATCATTATAGACATGGATACTTTTGAATATAATTTTAACAAACAATATCTGTTAGAGATGTTTAGTTTTTGTTTATTGTCCCCTTCAACATGTGTGACTACTGTGGCAGAATTCCCTATAGACATACAAGTTTGTTATAAAAGAGACTTGATAATATTTTTTATGTTGTTTGTTTAGAATGCGAAAAAAAATATTTCGCTTGAAATGGCAACTTTGGAGCAAAAGAAAGCTAACGAAAATGTATTGAGGCTCGTGGAAGACCAGAAGGTTTGTTTTGATAAAATTCATAAAACAGTGATAGATAAGTATCTCTTCTCCAGTTTTAGAAATTACTAAATTTATTATTTGGATTTGAATTTTAATGACAGAGACAAAAAGAAGATCTTCACAAAAGAATAATTCAACTAGAAAAGCAACTTGATGCAAAACAAGCACTGGAATTGGAAATCGAGCGGTTGAGAGGGTCACTAAATGTGATGAAGCACATTGAGGGGCGCATGGGTGGGGAAGAAGATAAGAAGGTTACAGAAAAAATGGAGGAAATGATGAATGAATTGAAAGAGAAGGAAGATGAACTAGAAGGTCTAGAAGCRTTAAATCAAACTCTTGTAGTTAAGGAACGCAAGAGTAATGATGAGCTSGTGGAAGCACGCAAACAATTAATTGAGGTAAGTAATCTTTTTGGTTTCCTCCTTGTGGAACTTCACAATATTTTATAGGATGTATTTTATTAATATGCTTATGTGTTTTTGTTGTTTAGAGGCCTGATATAATATTCTATGAGCTGAACTTGATAATCCGTGGTTTTCAAACTATAAATATGGAAAGAAAATAATTTGGTTACTTATGCTAATAGGGTTCAGATAATTGTTATTGCAAGATTGGCAATATTGAATATGCGAATAACTTCTGCTGGGTAGCCTCAAGTTGTTTTATGTTTATATGTTTCTCTTTTCTGAATGTTTATTTTTATGGCAAATATTTAACATTGATTTTGAATGGCTAAATCTTTCCCTTACAGGGTTTGAAAGATCTTACATCAAATCGTAAACCATCAAATTGTCTTATTGGAATAAAGAGGATGGGAGATCTTGATAGTAAACCATTTTTTGAGGCGGTCAAGCGTAAATATTCTGAAGAAGAGGCGCAGGAGAAGGCTGTAGATCTTTGTTCGTTATGGGAGGAGTACTTAAAAGATCCACTGTGGCATCCTTTCAAAATGGTTATGATTAATGGGAAGGATGAGGTATAGATCATTAGTTTTAGAATGCTAAATATTCTTGTTTTTGTGCATCTCTTCCCTATTTGTTACATTATAACCATCTAGATCTAGATCATTTACATAGGACGGACTAGTTTTAAATTTTCTTTTTGATTGCTAAATAAACTGGTTTAAAATTTCCTGTTCTCCGAATTTCAGATTACAAAATTAGGATTTAAAATATTGTGGCACAAGGGGTGTTAATGACTGGATATTAGATTAGCTCAGTTCCCTACAAGGTGTGCCTAGTTTTACAGGCGAGGTTTGTTTTGTGGGGTGTGCTTGATGTAAACCTAGGTCCTGTATAATAGCACTAAAGGTTTGGAGCAAGTGAAAGCCTTACGCTTCCTTTGAAGGAAATAGACTAGTGTATCGTTTTGTGGGGTGTGCTTGATGTAAACTATTGTATCTTTGAAGGAAATAGACTAGGTCTTGTATAATAGCACAATACAGTGTATATACCCAATAGAGATACTATAGGTGCATTTCCCCATACATCACTATGAACAATACAAATAGTTCAAGTGTTGATGGCAGAATGTGATACAAATCGTAGATCTGTCTTTTGTATAAAGAACAAGTAAAACAAGATTTATCCTCAAGTTTATTGCAAGAATTAAGCTRAGTTTGATTGCTGCAACTATAACCTTGCATTTTTGAACAATTGGACATGGGGACTCCATAGAGTAGAATTATCAGCAGTACTTGAAGGCCTAAAAGTAGCAAATTCTTTGAAGCTTTAAAATTTAATCATGGAAAGAGAYTTAATAAGTAGTGGTTTGCTGGCTTGGGAACAATATAAAGTTGTACATTGGAGGGAAGTGTGATGTGCCTCTATCCTTCCTAAAGTTGTTGCTTTCTCTTGGGAAGTCCTTTTTGACTGTAAAAGAGAAAACACAATTTATTAAAAAAAGAAACTGAATATAACCACCAATCAAAGTGTTAAGTTACCACCTTACCAAACAAACCTCCCAACAAAGAAAACAACAACACAACATAAAAGAAAACCAAACTCAACACCCTTTTAAAGTTACTCAGCAGCTCTTCACTACTTAGAAACGATTTTGCAAGAGAAAAAAGAAACCCCCTCCTAATTACCCTCCCCATCAACATTTCTTCGTGCCTTTTGCCCTCCTCGTTTCAAGCCTTTTCTCTTTCCCGTACTACATCTTTTTTTTACCCTTCTTCCTCCTCTTGAACTCTTCAAAGGCTCTTCTCGCAAACACCTCTCTGCCTCTACACATAAGACCTAAATGCTTGTCCACCTTTACATTCCCATCAACCAGCTCCTCAATCTTCACACCTCCTCTCTTCTCCTCAATCCTCTCTAGTGAAACCTCAACATCTCTTTTAGCAGCTTCACCTCCACCCTCCCTTTCCTTCTTGTCAGATTCTTTGCTTGGCTTTAATTCCCAATCAATTAAAGCCATTGAYTGATTCTCCATCCTAACAAATGTTTGAATCTCTTAAGCCAACCCATCAATGACCCCTTGTTTTGTAGCTTTGAGTTTTGCTCCCTTTCTCTTAAACAATCTCTTATACTTGTTCGTGGGACCAGCCCCAACCAGTCCCCCCTTTAATCAGGAAAAGACTTTAGTAACATGCACAATATGGGGTTTACTTGAGCCTCAACACTTCTTCGACACTGCCACAACATTTGTAGCTTGTTCTATCAGCTTCATTCTTCTCCAATCCAAATCTACACCTAGCCTTCCAATTATCACTTCAAAAACCAACTACCTTGTGCTATCTTCTGACCCACAATTCTTCTCTTTTGACACATCCTCCTAAATTCCAACTTTCTACCAACACCCCCTTCTGCAGTATCTTTTCACCCTTATCCTTCTTATTTTTTTTTTTACAAGTAAAGAGTCATATTCCATTTATTCAAAGATCGGTTACATGAAAATCCCCTTAGAGAGGCGCGAGGTGCTGCCTCTCCATACAGAAAACACAAAAACTACATCAAAAAGTGCATGACTGTTACAAAAGACACAAATTACAGTTGCACCCAGAACAATGCTTCCCTGTTTGTCCCTTGTTTTGCCAAGACATCAACAAATGCATTAGCTGATTTCCCTACCCACTGTACTGTTACTGACATATTCCTTGTCAGCCATTTGAATATCTTTATCTCATTCTTGTAGTCCCACGTGATATTCTCCGGATTATTAACCAGTTCACCATTGTCTTAGAGTCCCCTTCAACCAGAAGCTGCTCCACACCCATTTCTTTTGCAAGAATTATTCCTTTTATTGCAGATAACAGCTCTGCCCGAATGGAGTTACCAGCACCTAAAGGGCCAGATATAGTAAGACAGCCTCATTCCTCAGTACACCTCCCAAACCAGAGGGACCCGGGTTGCCTTGTCTACTTCCATCAAAATTCAGCTTCAAAGAACTGTGAGGAGGAGGGACCCAACTTGTCATTACCTTTATCTTTGAGGAGGAACAACTTACTACTGATAACCAATCCCTCCAACAGTCAGTAAAGGAGAAATAATCAAACAAATCCAGTCTTTAACCAATGTATTGCCCTATACAAAATGCAGTCCTTCAATGCCTGATTGCTTCTCCCCTTTTCTTGGAAGATCCTGGCATTCCTTTCTTCCCAAACTGTCCATAACAAGGTTGCTCGTGCACACCTCCACATTTTCCTTCCTCTTTTATGGGGCCAATAGAACATAGAAGGGTTAAAGATTACTTCTATTGGCATATCCCATCTACACCCAAACAATGATAGAAGCCAAACCCAGAGCTCTGCAGTGACACTACAGGATAAAAATTAGTGATAACAATCCTCACCATGAGATCTGCAAAGAATGCACTTGTTTGGAGAAATACATAGGAATGGTCTTCTCTTTTGTAGGTTATCCATCGTGCTTACTTTACCATGCCACACTTCCCAATTCAAAGCCATAACCTTGGGGGAAACCGGTCTACACCAGACTTCTTTGGAAGGGAAACTTTATTGAGAGGAGGTTTGGCATAGGAAATTTAAAAAGGAACCACAAGAAAAAGACCCATTAGGGTGAATGACCCAAATCCTCTTATTAGGCTTCAAAGTATCCAACCAAACCTTATCGAGGAAACCAAGAAGAGTAGACAAACAATCAATTTCATCCTCCCTTAGCCCTCTACAGAAACCAAAGTCCCAAGACAAAGGTGACAAATTTAAAATTGAAGGAAGGAATTTTGAAATCACCTCTTTTTTATACAAAGAAATAGAGTACAAGGATGGAAAAAGGTCTTTTAGGGGAAGATCCCCTGCCCAAATGTCCTCCCAATACCGAATAGAGTTACCATAACAAGCATCATACCTTATACAACTTAGGAACTATGGAAGAATTTTGTGAATTGCTTTCCAAGGTGTTGCTAGGTTTGCCCTCCTTGAAGCACCGACATCCCTTCCACTCTCTGAGCATCCATGAATACTCTTCACCACTTTATGCCACAACCTCTCTCTTTCCATAGGCCACCTCTACAACCACTTCCCTAACAAGGCTGTATTCTTCTTAAGCACATTTCCAAGCCCTAATCTTCCTTCCTCTTTGTTTCTACCCACAACCTTCCAATTGATTAAGTGGTCTTTTTTACCTTCTCCCGGTTCCCAAAGAAAATTTCTCATTAATTTTTCCAGTTTCTTCGCTTCCCTAGATGGTATCCTAAAGACAAAGAGGTAGTAAGTAGGTAGGTTCGCAAGGGTAGCTCTTATCAAGGTGATCCTCCCACCCAAAGAGATGTAATTTTTCTTCCACACAGCTAATCTCTTTTCAAACTTCTCTAAACTGGGGTCCAGAACCTACTCTCTCTAGGGTTTTCCCCTAACGGCCGCCCTAAATACAAAGGGCAAGTAGAAATGGAGCACTGAAGATAATCTGCAATAGCCTCAGCCTCCTCAAAGTCTAGATTGATTCCAGCAATGCAACTCTTTTCTAAATTGATTTTCAAATTGGACACTCCTTCAAAGGCTTTAATCAATTTTTTTAAGTTTCCTACCTTCTCACTAAAACCACCACCACAGAAGATCATCAAGTCATTCGCAAACTGCAAATGAGTTATTGGAATTTGGTTTGAGCCTATTCTCCATCCCTTTATCACATCTTCCCTATCAGCCCTTGTGATAATTCGATTGAACACATCAGCTACCAAGGTAAAGAGAAAAGGTGAAAGTGGATCCCCTTGTCTAATACCCCTACTAGCTGGAAAAAAAAATCCCTTACCACTTTATTTGCTAAGATGGAGTAGTGACAAGAGCTGACACAACCAAACATCCAACTACACCATCTTTCCTCGAACCCACACTTCCTCCAAACCTCTACTAGGAACTGCTAGTCCACCAAATCATAGGCTTTCTCAAGATCGAGCTTACATACAAAGCCTCTTTGCTTAGACCTCTTCATCTCCTCCACACATTCGTTGGTAACTAGGATCTGATCAATTATCTATCGTCCTTGGATGAATGCCCCTTGGGCCTAACTAATAATGGAGGGAGGGATTTCTTTAGTCCTCAAAGACAACACCTTTGCAAAGATTTTATAGATACTAGTCCCCAACCCTAACTCCTCTACCACTACCCCTTCATTTCCACATAGGTGAAATTCATTTTACAACCTCTTTTTGATTCCCACCTCTTTCACATTCTTCCCTTTAATTTCCCCATTTCCCCAAAACTTTTCACCTTCTCATTTCCTTCCAAAATTACTTTATTGCCGTTGCCCTATCAATCATCATCTTCAACCCCGAGCGTCTCTACAACATCGAGAAATTGAGAATCCACCTCCCTATCAACTCTCTCTTCCATACCTTCTCTTCTCCTCTCATAGCTCTTTTGTGCCTTAAAGAAAATCTGGTCCTCCTCCTCAACAAGGATCCTCAATTCATAATCTTCCCTTGAAAAGAAGAGCACCAAAAAGCTTGGAATATCAGAGGCCTCCCCCACTTCTACTAATATTCGTTCAACGTCAGCTTTCCCACCTCTTGTTC